GTGTTTCAGTCGCAGGCAGCTACAATTAACCTGAAGGACATCGCTTTGAAGCCAAGTGAAATTGTGGTTGGCGAACACACAGGTGATATATTGTAGATTTTGGTTTTATACTCTTGTTTTGTTACACGCTGAAGATGCTGCTGCCCCGATTGTGGAGCGAAATGTCAGGCATTATTGTCCAATAACACGCGGTGCGACCCCAAAAGCACATCATAGAGTTACAGAAAATCATTACTTTTGTGGTGTGGGGTTGGTGCATAACAATAACAGTCCTTTATAAAAAGTTCAAGTCAAGTCTATACACGTCCCCACTCGAAATGAGTGTTGGGCAGGGATCATCTCGGTTAGTGGCCCTGAGTCGGGAGTGGAAATTCCACATTCTTATGGCAGTGGCCAGTTTATCTGTCGGACAACCACTGTCAACATCCACCTCATTGGTGTTTATTTTTCTATCAACCCCTGAGAGATGAAGATGATGGGATGAAGATGATGGGCTGAGGTGACCCCCAAATGACTGGATCTCGTTATTTGAAGCCCTCTATCCTTTAAAGACCATAGCACCCAATAACACATTGGCCAAACAAACATTTTGTTCTCCGTAATAGTTTTTGTTTGGGTTAGATCGCGTAAATATGTGTTGTCGTCACTGTGAGCCAATCAAAATTACAATGGATATTTAATAGTTGGGTTATTGATAGCTAGTTAATCAACATCGACTTCAAATTTACCCCCCTCTATTCAAGACCCAAACAGGAGGATTTTTCCACAATTCTGGCTGTCGCCTAATGAAGATAGTTGTAATTACCGGCGAAACGTCATACTCAAATTGTAAATGTTGTGGGTTTACTCTCCAACACACCGGTGTGCTGAACTCGTAACTAATTGGCAAGTTTTATTTACGTGACAAACCTCACTTCTTGACTATGTCGGGTGGTGGCGGGTTTAACGAAACATTTTACACGATCTCACCCAAAAAAAAACTATCATAATATTGGTCGCGAAAGCCTGTGTGTGAAAGTTTGTTCTCCGCTTTTATCTATGTATGTTGAACTTATTCTTGGTTCTTTCGGTAAAGTCACGTAGAAGGGAAATAATAAAATAATAAAAAATATAAAACAAAAAAATTCGACTGCAACACAATCATCATCAGGTGTGAAATACAGCAAGAAAATAAAAAAGTGGCGTTTTTTTCAAATTTGCTTGCTGTGGATTTCACACCTGATGATGATCGCTTGTGTTGCAGTCGAAACGTCGTGAGAATTTTTATTGTTTTATATAATTATTTTATTATTTCCCTTCTATGTGACTTTACCAAAAGAACCAAGAATATAATCAATCTTGATAATAGATTATAATGCCAGCTGAAAATGTTCCTTCTGTTTTTGCAGTGAGCCACAACCCGGGCCAGTTTGGATCGCAGCTTTCCAAGCTCATGATCGTGTCGAGGAAACCTCACGAGGAGCTGTGATCGCCTCTCTCACTCTGTCTCTCTCCGCCACACAACTCTCCCATTATTTATCCACGTCTCATTTTCTCTCGACACACCACACCACTTTCACACACTCTTCTCTGCATCCCACACTTCTAGTCTCTCTCCATTTCCCCGTCTCTCTACTTCTTCCTCCCTGGCATCTCACTCCTCTGCACTTCACACAACTCTCACGGCTGTCAATGGAGACACACAACTGCTGGGATTTGGACTCATTTTAACATGAGCCAGTGGTAGCTCTGTGGCTGAAAAGGCCGTTGCAGTAGCACCGAGCTAGAACCTCTTGACACTTTGAGTTTCAGTGAATCCTTGCGGGGGCTGGGCGTTTTGTGTCGAAGGTTCGTCATCGCTGCGTCGCAGACACTGAACCAGCACTGCTGAGATCCGAGGTTTGATCCCTTGGGTTGGATGTCTCAAGGGGCTCATGATGGCCGTGGCAGACTCTTGAGCCAGCACTGCGAAGATGAAGCCCTTGTGCTGGGTATATCTGGCTCTGTCAAAGCACCGTGTTGGAGTAATTGAACAAACACTGGGGACGTCATGAGCCAAGTTTTCGGGGTGGGGTTCTCACTTTCGTATTAGGAGGGTGACGATGGCTGTGTCGGACACTAAGGAAGTGCTTCAGAGATCATGGGGTTGGTTATTCTACTGTTTCCTTACAATGGGGGTTCTTCATGGCCATGTCTGGAACATTGATCCAGCAGTGCAGAGATCTTGAGTTTAAATCCAGGCACCTACCCTGTGATTAAACTGGGTTCTCAAGCATTACGAATTCGATGTCTCAGCCCGGTCACCAATCACTGCTCACAATTGAAATCAATGAAATGAGCTTACCATTTGAGCATAGCTCAGCTCTGAGGTTATACAACTGTACGATACTTTTTCGTATAAAATCACAGAAAACTAGGCCAGTCACCCATCTGCACAGCTGAACTGAATGCCGTATTTGCTGTGGTAAAATTGGCCCTTTTGGAGGACATGGAGCCGTTAAACACTGTGGTTTTGCTGTAATGTGGTGGAGATTGGAATGGATTGAACATTCCTTTGGGTATATAAAGGTTAAAATTTAAAAGAAGCAAACTGGAAAACATTTCCACTCAATAAAAAAATGGTTTTGTTACTTTAAACCCGTGAATGTGCTTATTGTACACACACAAACACAAGCGATGACCGGCTCAAATGCGCATTGAGGCAAGTGGATGTATTTGCCATCTGTTTCCATCTGTACGGGGATATAGTGTTGCCCCCTCACGCAAGACGTGGGTTTTCTCCACCCACTTGTATCATAAACACTCATCAATTGGCTGAAAACAATTTAACATAAAACCGAAATGTAGCACTCCTCAAAAAGAGCCCTACGACTCAACGAAACACGACGGCCGTCTGGACTGCACATCGAGCTTCAATTACATGGCGTCATTCAATTTGCAGATTGCATTACAAGCAGTCCTCGACTTGCAAACACCCACACGGACACCCGCACTTGCGATCCCCCGCGAGAGATGTAACGAGTCGGCTTTGCGCTGTGACGATTATCTGAATGGGTCCTGGGCCTCCCCCTAGGTCGACACAGCCTCAAATGAGTACCTGGTGCGGGGTGTAAACATCGCCACTGGGGAGACAAAGGCGGCCGGGCGCGGCGCTGGCCACCCACCCCCTCGTGTGCCATGCCGGCCTTGATCGATGCTGCTCTAACAGCACTTGTGCCAACAGTCTGTGTGTCTATACTGGGGATCATTGGAGTGTGTCTTTGTGTGTGTGTCTGTGTGTGTGTTTTTGTGTCTGTGTGTGTTTTTGTGTTTGTTTTTGTCTTTGTGTGTGTGTTGTCTTTGTGTGTGTGTGTCTTTGTGTGTGTTCTCTGTGTGTGTGTCTGTGTGTGATTATCTGAACCGGTCCCGGGCCTCCCTTAGGTCGACTCAGCCTCAAATGAGTACCTGGTGCGGTGTGTAAACATTGCCACTAGGGAGACAAAGGCGGTCGGGCGTGGTGCTGGCCACCCACCCCCTCGTGTACCGTTCCGGCCTTCATAGGTGCTCGCTAACAGCACTTGCCCCTACAGTCTGTTAAGGCTACACGGGGGATCTTTATCTTTGTGTGTCTTTGTGCCATTGTGGTTGCTCACTGCCCCCTGCCGACAAGCAAGCCGGCGGCAGGACTCAAGTGAAAATAAAACAGATTTTTTTATATTCATGTTAATTTATTGTATGTTCTATTGACTATACGGTATTTTTTTTACCAGTGTTACATGCAAATGTATAATATTTTTTATGAGTTTAACAAAGCTTCCCTGTTTAGTTGGACTGTAACACATTTCATAACACTGACCGTATGGGCATTTAAAAACGGTACGTGACTGTTTAACACGTCGGCTTTCGCGATCAATATTATCCATATTAGAGATTTTGACCACCCAAAAAGAGCAGAACCATGCATTGTACATTATGCATGGTGTGCATGCATAATGTATGTTGATTAACCGATGAATAACCCAACGGGTAATGGATCACCATTGTAATATAGGCATAGATCAACCCTAGATTTGAAGCTTTCGTGACTGCAAGGATTCATACTCTTAGTTATTTCGGTAAAGTCACGTAGGTAAAAAATGAAATAAAATTTTTATTTTATTTTATTTTTTACCTACGTGACTTTTTTTTAATTTTAATTTCATGTTTTACCTACGTGACTTTTTAAATTTAAATTTCATGTTTTACCTACGTGACTTTTTTTTTAATTTAAAATTTATGTTTTACCTACGTGACTTTTTTAATTTAAATTTCATTTTTTACCTACGTGACTTTTTTAAAATTTTTATTTCATTTTTTTACCTCCGTGACTTTACCGAAAGAACTTAGAGTATAGATCAACCCCCCCCCCTCACTCTGACCTTCGCATCTGATTGACTCACCAGTCTCGGCATCACGTGTGCCCTCTCTCGCTCCACAACTCTCTGGCTGTCGCCTGATGATGCTGGCTGCTGCTGCTGCTGTCGTCGTAATTACCGGCGAAACGCCACGGCACTTGAATTGTAAACGTTGTAGTTGGGGTTTAACTCTCCAACACACAGCCGGTGTGTGTGCTGAACTAGTAACGAATTGACACGTTTTATTTACGTGACAACACTTTGCTTAATTGGCCGTGTCGAGTGGTGGCGGGTTTAACGACACGGTTATATTTACCCCATCTAACCCATCCAAACCCTCTATTGTGCAGTACATGGCTCGAAATTCCCGACTTTAGAAACCGTTCGACTTACGAACGAATCGCGTTCGTAACTCGAGGAGTCGCTCCCCGTCCTACGCGGAATTTGTATTGCGCGATGACGTCACCGAATTTAAATCGCCGTCGCAACGAGAGGCGTGCGTACATGACGTCACCAGAGTTCACGCCTACGAACACAGCTGTTTAGTTTTTTGACGTCATCGTTTTAACGTGACGTACGTGAGAGGGGGCGTGGTTTACGTCGCCCAGCAGCTGTCCGCGCGCCCGGCTATAAAAGGGGGAGCGCCATGAGCACTCGTGTTGGCGTCTTCCCCGGGGTGTCCGCGTCGCTTGCGTTGGTGGTGATCCCCAGGATGGCGACGCCGCTGTCTCGCTGAGCTTTCCGTCTTTCTCCCCCCCCCTGCCGCCGCCGCCCTCGCCTCGGTCTCCCCTCACCACGCACTGCTGCCGCTGCGGGGACTCCGCCGCTTCCGAGCGTTCCTCGGGTAGGCCTCCGCCAGACCACGGTGTTGCCTAGTTTCCCTGCCCGGTGAGGTAGGCGAGCGTCGGTGCCGTCCGAGAGGCCCGGGGTACCCCCCAACATTCATTCGCTCGCCGGGCGATGTTGAAAGTCTTTGACTAAAATGAGCGGTGGCGCAGTGGTTGGCGCATTGCGCCGTAGAGCCCGGCTCGCCTGAGTTCGATTCCCGGCCACGGCTAACATCGGCGGCGGCGAGTGATGTGTGAACTCGGCTCGCCTCTCTTGACCAAATCGTGAGGTGAAGTATGGATACCCGTCCATCAGCGCGTTGTCAGAGGGCTGCAAGCAAAATCTACGTGGCTGTGTGTCTCCATGTGCAGGCTCGACTCGAGTCGGAATACTCGGGAAAATTAGAATAATTTCGGGGTGGTGGTGGGGCGTTAGGGGAGTTTAAAACGACTTAAAAGTGGAGCGTCCTGTAGCCTCACGCCATCCTAGCGGTGTCCATCGAGTTCCAATTCAATTTCGTCCGTGACAATTGGTAACCCCGATCGATGACGATGGGAGGAGAGCGGATGGGGGGGGAAACAAAATCCGTTAAGTTTGCACAGGTGGCTTGATCGTGCGATGATCATATGGGATGCGCGTCTGGTGAAACATCTTTCCCCCCCGCCCGCTTTAACCAGCAGTCGATTGACCATGGCTGGTGATTGACATGACCGAAACGCCTTAATGGTTCGTGTGATCCGTGCCTTTTTAAAGTGTCCTCCTCGTCCCTCCCCCCCTATCGTTCTTTCTTTCTGAACGCTCTCCATCGGAGTCGAGGTCATCCGTTGGCTGTGGGTGTTGGTGTCGTCTGCCGCGTCCTCCGTCTAAACGCGATGAGTGGACTACGTGATGATGACCGGACAGACCCAGATGGTTGTTAAACACTCGAGTAGCTGCAAGGCGCTGCGGCGTTTGTGCTTTTTATTTTAATGTTGTTTACATTCTGTAGTCTGTAATTTATATTTCTATAAACGGTTACTTGGCACGGGCACCAATACTTCAAACGGCTTGCGACAAACAACACGGTCAGGAGTTTTAATAATAGAACTGCTTTTGTTTGTAGTTGTACCTCCCCCGGCACCTGCGATGAGCACGGTTGGCTACGTACGGTGTGAAAGAAGTTCAACATGCAGTACGAGAAAGACGTGGCACTGGATGCGCTCCTGTGCGGCCGTCTGGAACGCTCTCCCCTCCGATATTAGGAAGCCACTGGGGGCTATGATGCACCTTTAAATCGTCTAGATTCACAAACTCAGTTTTAGAAACTGCTTTGTGTGGTTTAGCCCCCCCCCCGCATCTCCGATTAGCGTACGGTGCGAAAGAAGTCCAATATTACATTACGTGCAAAGAGTCATAACACGGTTCTTGACCAACGCCTGGATATTTGCATCCCCCCATGGGCGATCGCCATACGGAGCGGGTTTGTTTTTAGTTTGTAGGCCGCTACAATGCCACACAATGGGCAAGCGATCTCTGGCCGGCACCGCAAAACCCATGGTCGAAGTGCAGCTCTGTGCTCGCCTTCGACTCGCACTGGCGAGCATGGGAAGGCCATCGTCTAGAAGTGGATTGACAAAGAGTTTGGTGTGGCGTGTATCTGCGCAAATGTTTCAGTGGGGATCGTAGCGGTGAGCGTATTCGCGGCCACCAACACCAATGACTATTCTTTGAACCGGTCCTGAGCCCCTCCCCTAGGTCGACTCGGCCACAAGGGAGTACCCGGTGCGCTGTGTAAACATCGCCACCGGGGATTCTACCTCGTGTGGCGTGCCGGCCTTCATAAGGATACACGGGGATCTTTGTCGCGCAATGCTTTAGGAGCAAACACAAGAAGGTAAGTGGGCTTGGGCAGGACACGTCGGGGGGGGGGGGGGGTGAGTGCTGGTTGACGAGATCGACAATGGAATGACGGCCAAAGTGGAGAATTCACCCCAGGGGGTTGTGAAGATGTCGCGATTGAAGTCGTCTCGTGTGTCGGTGCAGGGTAGGCCTTTGTACAGCAGTGGATTGAGCATGGTTGGCGATGAGTTTGTTTTTTAGTACCTTAGTTACAAAGACAAAGATTCTCCCATGTGGCCTGAGGGAGCAAGTGCTGTTAGCGAGCACCTATGAAGGCTGGCACTGCTCACAAAGGGGTGAGTGGCCAACGCCACGTCCGGCCGCCTTGGTCTCCCAAGTGGTGATGTTTTTCACACTGCACCAGGTATTTATTTAAGGCCGAGCCGACCTAGGGGGAGGCCCAGGACCGATTCGGATAATCGTCGCTAGTTTTGGCCGTGAGCATGAATCTAACTCGGGTATGGCAGGTTCTTAGTGCAGTGTGCTAACCGCTACACGACACTCTTGTCTTAGTTACACACATGTAGAGACATACCTGAGAGAGCCCTGGGAGATCAAAGGTATTTTTCAAGGGAGATCTGGGTTGTAAAGCAAAGAATGTGCTTGGCGCACACATTTCTTCGCACAACATCGAGCAATGCGGTTTATAACTGCAACAAAAAATGAGGTGAGGAGTTGTGTGGTTAACCGTGGAAAGCCGTGGTCTCAAAAGCTCATGTTCATGAGGTTCCATCATTGGAAATACAATCTCTTCTTTGGCCTTTGAGCCATTGGGACAATTTTGGGTTGTTAGTACCACGCAGGATGCCAAATTATACTTATTTGCCTAGATCCTACTATCTCTAGATTAGAAATGTACATGATAGCAAGGTCACCGTGGTAGCGTTTAATGAGAAAATATAAAGGCGGGTGCCTTTTTAGTATGTTCGTTTGACAGATAATATATTTTCGGGGGGAGGAAAGAACGACTTTGATATGAAACGTCTGCAGAATGCGAACCCTTGGAAGTTGTCTATAAAACAGATGGTGTGTAGACTGATGTATTCCCATGGTGGGACACGGTCCTTGGTAGGCCCCCCCACTGCCTGCGGTGCAGACTGGCAGCGTTTTCCACCCTCGGTGGTACCCACAAACCCCTTGGTGCATGGGCTAATTGAGGTCGTTTTGAATATGGGAGGAAAGCGCGAATACCTGAAGAAAAACCCACCAACACACGAGGAGACGACGCTCGGGCTCACGTGTGTATAGGTGTGCCGCGATTTTGCGAACGTTCGGTTTTTACGAAATTGCACGTAAACGCACATTGACGAATTCTGGACACTTTTTTAGATTTTTAACGAAATCGAATTTCCACGTTTACGAAATTTCGCGCACTGCACGCGCCGTGAGGTCGTCGGACACGGAGCAACCTGGGAGGCAAAATTTTCTGATTCTGATCCGCTGGTTATAGGGGAGTTTTTTTCAGTTTAGGAGCAGAGCGTGAATGACTGCTCAACGCATCCATAATTTTTTTTGTATCAAATTAACGGGAAAAGCCATTCCGATTTACGAAATTTCGTTTTACGGGTGGTTTTTTGATGAACGCATCCCTTTCACAAATCGAGGGATCTCCTTGTAAAGCAAGAACTGCTTTTTGTGTTTCGTTTGTTTTTGACCCGCACTTCCGATTAGCACCGTTGGCAACGTAAGTTGCCAAAAAAGTTCAACATATATTCCTACATCACTGTCGCCTCCGATTCGCATGGTCAGCTACGCACGGTGCGAAACAAGTCCAACATACCCACGTGCCTGCTGTCAACCTCAGTGCTGCACTGCCTCATGAGCCACCACCACCTCACAGGTGCTTCCACCCTTCTGTGGTGATTCAACCCCGCCGCTTAAGTGCTTAAGTCACCGCCGGTCTTGCTGCGATGTCATCTTTCGCCATATGGTATCAAATTTCCACGACAATGACGCGACTACAAATTCCCTTGAAGTTGTAATTGCAGCTCGCATTTGTATGTCCTTGTTTTTGTTCCTTGCTCTGCTTTCCGTCTGAAACGAGGTTTTACTGACCGCTGCGTTTCACTCGGCATGAGCACCCCTTGAGTCGTCTCGCCGTTGCAGCTTTTCAGTCCTGTGATGCTGAGACCGTTGTTCTTGTTGGTTTTGAGCCAATGGTGGAAATTCGACATTCCTGTGACAGGGACCCATCTCTCTTCCATACGCTGACAATTGTTGACTCCCCACAGGAGGACTCGTTTTTAATGATTCCATAGAGACGATGATCACGATCGGTCCAGTTGGTATTGAAACGCTCCAACGACCGTTTTGTGATCCGCATGCTTTTCCCACAGAGCCTCCATTGTCAATAATAAATAAAAGACTTGTTGAAGAGATGTGTACAAAAAAAGTGCTCTGTACGGCAGCCATAAAGATTTAAGTGCTTTACGTGTCAACAGTTTTTTTGTAATGGTTGTGGTTTCTGAAAAGGCACATGTTGACCTGTGCTTATCAGCTGCGGGAGGTCAGGTCGGTTCCTCCAATAGAATGTGTTTTTTTTTTTCCAGCTATAATGATTGCTTAAGTTTCGCAAGGTCATTGCTTCACATTATCTCTGTTGTTCCTCCTTGGCCTATACAAATACGGGCAGTTTAACTGGGTAAATACATGAATTGCGTTGTGATAATGCTGTTGGCAGTGTTGAGACCACTTTGAATTTTGAGCATCTTTGAATACCCAATAGTGAAGATATTGCTGCAATGGGTTGCTAAGACGAGTTCCCAACGACACCAACAGCAGACTTTGCACTTATTTAAGATTGTGGATCTGGTGGAATTTTTTTGGCAGCTGGTGAAATTGTTCAACAATGGTAAAGTTATTATCGACTTTGGAGGGCTTCTGGTGGGGTATTAATCCCTCACCAGTTCCCGATTGAAATCGCGGGTTATAATTAAATTGCCTCTCTGGCCTCTGCTGTGCAGAAGGACCATTGTCCCAAAACCTCGCTTATTAAATGTTATTTTTCCGTGTTTATTGACGAATGTGAAAAAGAAATCCCCCTTAAACAAAAGGGCACTTTATCAACACCGAATTAATCCCATTTTCCCAAGTGTTTAATACAACATTGCCTCTACGCTAGATATTAACGGGGACATTTTAAGGCGTCTAACCAATTGCATGCCCATTTTGTGGTTTACAAAAAAAATCTGCTCTTGGTACATGCCGCATAATGCGTGGCACGAGAGAATGTGGCGATCCGTGCGAGGTTCCTTGTGTTGGCTCCCATCAGCGGTGTGCGATTGTCGTCTGAACCACCAGCATTGGAAGTGTGATCCACGAGCAACGAGGCTTGTTGGGGTAAGCCTGGCAAAGCCGGTTTTAGCAGTGCACTGAGAGTGGATGGAAACTTATGGCTGTGTAGGTTTTCACGGACACGCTGTGTCGCTGTCCCGCGCTTTGTTTCGTTTGTACCCGGTGTTGTTCCGCACGATCTCTAATGGTTTTGTCCCAACGCGTGGCAACAACCTAAAAATACATCGGCGAGAATGCTTTATTTTTTATCCCACTCTATCGCCGATTATGACCAGCGATTTATGCAAGTGAATTCCCAATAATCCGCGTTGCTATTCGACCATATCATCGCGGATCATGTAATCCATGGCGCACGTACGTATCTACACGTACGTACGTACGTACATACAATCTGAGGCTCGTCGCAGAGTTTCTGTAATCGGCTGGAAAAATTGTTGTGCCGACACCACGGTCTGCCGCAGATTGCGAGGAGAAATTGGCCGCGCGATTCGATTCATCCGACTCAGCATTAGAACGCTCTCCCACCTCTCATTGCGAGCCGCTCACTGTACCGGAGAGCAACCAGGCCAGATTATAGAATTAATAATGCCGCATAGTTACAGCCAGCTGTTCTGAATGTGTCGTGTCGTTCTAATATATTAGGCAAAGGTGGCATCGGTCTGGCGATTGTCAAACACATGGTTGTGTCCTTACATCACCCCATGCAAAAATAAATGTCCCATGTTGTATTACGACGTTGCCGTAGTTTTTTTTCGCTTTTGCTGTTTTGGTGACCCAGGGTCTCTCCTTGCAAAATAAGACTCCATCCCCTGGGTCTCTCTTGACCACTACTCACCACCTGGTTAAACAAAAAAATGCGGCCTGGTGGCTTGAGCGTTCAAGCTCGCGGCTGTCATTTCGATGAGCGTGTGGGACGCACGGTGGCAAAGAGGTTGTTAACTATCTCCCCTGGTACACAGGAGGTCGTGGTTACGATCCAGACCCTGATGCATGCTGTATATTTGGAGTTTTTGCATGTTCTCTCCCTGTGGTCGCGTGGATTTTTCTCCCCTCTGCTGCTATAAATTTCCACCTCGTTGAGCTATCATTCGTCACCAGATCTATTCTGAAAAAGAGCTATATTGCTCAGTGGGCCTTACCTGCTAAAATTAAGTTATTTTTAGTTGTATAGTCCTCTTCATCTGAAAGTCGGTCTGATTTGTGCTTTGAATACCTTTTGCTAGTGCTCTATACTTGGCCCCAGTCAGGGAATTGTGGAGTGCACCACTGGGCACTGGGTTATCAATAGAACCGAGCCATAGCCTAAGCAAAAAACAAAAACAATCTCCCGTGTTTGTGTTTTATGCGCACAGACGGCCAAGAGGAGGAAGGAGGGGCGAGCGCTTGAGGAGGGAGAGGAGGAAGGGAAGCTCACGAGGCCGTGATGCGGCCGACGTTGGCCCTGCTGGCGTGCGCCGCGTGGCTGGTGGCGTGCGGCGTGCGTGGCCAGCCGAGGGACGTGTACACGCACACGTGGGCCGTGCTCGTGCCGGGCGGCGCGGCCGCGGCCGACGACGTGGCGGGGAGACACGGCTTCACCAACCTGGGGCAGGTGAGTGAGCAGCACGCAACCCACGCGCGGTTATTGTCTAGAGAATCGCTACGGTGAAGAGGATGTTGCCTCCGTCGCCCGGTATGCAGGAGGTCGTCGGTTCGACCCCCGACGATTTCTGTTGTATATTTGGAGTTTGTGTTTTACTCTTTCCCCGTGGTCACGTGGGTTTTTCTCTCCACCATTTGGCTGCTGTAATATTCCATGTGGTGACCCACTTCGTTGACCTATCAATTGTGGCCAGGTCTGCATGGCTCGGTGGGCCTTACCTGGTGAAATAAAAAAAATTGTTTAGTTTGAATTTGTTTTTATAGTCGGTCTGACAAGGACAGATCCGAAAAGTGGAAAAACTCCGTGTTAATGTGGGGAGCGGTGATGTGGCCTCGGGTTGGGGGGGGGGCATGTTCGTCACTTGTTGCAGAGGGCTCAGATTCCAAACCAACAGGCCACCCTGGTTATTACTGCAAAGGGGGGCGGTGTTATACCGTAATCTCCGATGCGCCATTGGCTTCATGGTTGATGTTAATGATCTCCCCCCCACCCCCACACATCATTCGAAATGAGAAGACCAGGCTGTTGAGTGCTGGCATCACGCTCCAAATTTGCCAGTCGAAAAATTACACTTAAATTACTCGAATTTTTGGATTGCACACGGCAGCAGCAGCAATCATCCACCCCTCACTTGCGTACTGATGCCCAATTACATCAATGGGATGCCTTTTTTTGGCAGAGTAAAAAATGATGAAAAATTTAAGAATAGGTTTTCACCCTTGCTGCCAATATTACAGGAGTTGTGTTAAGATGTTCAAACTCCAAATAGATTCCTTTTTGCAAGTCTGCATTAACCACACACGGTACTTGTGAAATAAGTAACATTTTTTTTTTACTTTTTAAAAAACACGCTTTAATGAAATGTAACGTACGAGTAATGGAAGAACTCCACGACTCCAGGAAGTGGCCCCGAGGCTTGCCGTGACGCAAGGGACCACGTGGTGATTTACAGGAAACATGAGTTGAGCGTGGACAATTAGAGCCGTTAAAAAGATTGTTTAAAATATTTATTTTTATTTTAATGATAGAATATAGTATTGTCATCAGTATGACATACCTATACCAAGTTTGCAGTCGTTACGACATTGGAAATACGGTTGAAATTGAGTTGCAATATTTTTGGATACGACAACACACACAGTAAGTTAAATAAAAGCGTGTAAAATGTTACAAAATATATGTTTTGGATTTTTTATGATAGAATATCGTGTTGTCATCAGTTTTACATAGCTATTTAAAATTTGCAGTCGATAGCACATTGGGAAGTGTGTAAAAATTGAGTTACAATATTTCATTTTCGAGGATACAACAGACGAAGTGAGTTAAATAAAAGCGTGTAATAATTAGGATAGGTTTGACCCCTTTCTGGCAATGAAACGAGGCGATAAGATTTTGATACGCCAAATAAGACGTGCTCTCTGGTTCTTTCGGTAAAGTCACGGAGATAGAAAAAACAATCAAATCTACTCACGTCACTTTACCAAAAGAGCCAGAGAGTATGGATTCCTGCAGTCACGAAAGCTTCAAATCAAGATCAAATAAGATGTATTTTTTTAAAGGCATCGTCAAGTTTGCGTTAACCAACATGTACTTGTGACAAAAAAACATGCAAACGAATGTCCAATTGCAGGCCAGGTGCACTGTCTCCTCTTGCCACACAGGGACAGCTGCCCCTGGGGGTGCCCTTTTCAAGTGTGGCGAGATGCGATGTAAAGCGCTGTCTCTCTCATGGGGTGTAAATAATCTGAATTAGAATCGTTGTTTCAGACTTGATGAATCTGTTGAGCTTATGGAGCTCTTTCTCACAGGTGTGTCCAGTAGGGGCGCGGGGTCGGAAAGTTGCAACAACAAACAATACAAAAACACGATAGGAGTGCAAAGTGTAGGAAAGGTAGGACGATCACAAATGTTTTATCTAAAACTCAACTCTCTTTATTTTTCCAGGTAAAGCCCACTGAGCTATTAGATAATTACGTGGAAATTTATAGCAGCTTAAGGGCATGCTATCACCAACAAAGAATTATTCACTTTTTTATTATAGTCCTAAGTCAAAAGTCGTGGTGCAATGGGTTAGCACCCTGAACTTGCAATCCAGAGGTTTGTAGCAGCGGTGCTCCTTAACCCCCTTGTCACCGCTCTCCCACACTTCTATTCTGGCGTACGGCATCAATATGTTCATGAGTGAGATGCCGATGTCCTCCTGCTAGCCATGATGAGAGCGCTTCGGCAGAGAGAGAGTTCGTGCCGATTTGCTGAGCGCAGACCAGTGGGTTTACTGTGCGGTCCATAGACTAACATTGCCCATAGACTAACATTTGCCATAGACTAAAATTGCTCAATGAATATTCTATTATTGAGTGGTAATATGTCGAGGAGTTAGATGCCAATGTGGAGGTCCTGCTGCTGCTACAACGAGAGCGCTTCGGCAGAGAGAGAAAGAGAGTTCGTGTCGATTCGCAGTTCCTCCCTTGAAGGAGCGGTGACCCACAGTGCGTTTACTGTGCAGTCCGCAGTTTGGGTTGCACTGCCACAATCGCACCACTGTGGCTCGCGTTTCATTTTCTTTTCGTAGGGGAGATGTGCGCGTTGGCCTGTTGATGTTCGGATGGCGCGGTTGACGGCTCCCCACTGACACCACCTCCACACGTTCTCTCCTTTTCTCGCACGCTCACTGACGCATGCTGTTTCATATTTGAAAGCGGCATTGAAGCCCCGTCGTGTTTTCATTCCATGACATCTCGCCGCTAAGCTGAAAGGCTTTCTGTGCGGATTACTCGACCGTTAATATATTTTAAAATAATCTGAATCGTTCATCTGTTTTGCGAGGGAGGGAGGGAGCAGCGCTCGTCTGCTCCTGCTGGCCCTGCCGTGATCATAAATCCCTTGCCGTGCGTTTTACGAGTGACCATGCTTCTCCGGGAAGTGGCGGTTGTTGTGGAGGCAAGCCCGATGGTTGGTGGTGCGGTGGTTTGGTGGTTTGGTATGCGGTTATTGCTGGGGTGGTCGGGTCAACTTGTGACCACTGCTCCGTTTCCTCCACTGAAGTGTGCAATATGTGCAGTCTTTGTTCTGGGATCCCGCGTGCCCCTCGCATTATTTAGATTATTTTGGCTGCTATAAATTTCCAAATGATCGCCCACTTTGTTGAGCTATCATTTGCAGCCAAGTAGCTTTTGACAAGTAAGTTAATGCCTTGGTTGGGCTCTGCCTGGTTAGGATAGTTTAGTTTTATTTGTTTAGTTTTTTGGGTGATTTGTTACCTTTCTTGTACTTTATACTACTGTACCATCGTTTGGTTTTTGTGCTGTTATTTGTTGCAACATTCTTTCCCATCCCCTACTGGCCATCTGTGAAAAATAGCTTTATAGCTCATCGGATTCCTCCAGTATAAATATTCATATTCTGCATCGGCATAAAAAAACTCCCGCATACATGTGTAGCGAGTCCAACTGGGTTGCAGACGCTGTCTTGGGTAAACACTATTTATTCAGTAAATCAACACAACACAACCTACACTTGGGTGTTGAACGCCCATCTAGCCACGCCACGGCAGAACTAGACACTGTTCGCTATCCCGGCCCGGACCACGAGCTGGGTCCCGGACCGCGTGGCTAGAGGCTTCTTTTACCCAACGTGGATCTTCATCACCAGCAACACGAAGAACCCCAAGCCCCTCACGCCCCCCCCCCCCCCCCCCCCCCCCCCCCGTTATATCGGCCCGGGCTGGGGCTGGCTCCGCCCCTCGCCCCGCCCACCTTCTAGATCTCTCTGGCTCTTTCCCGAAGGCTCCCCGAGAGCTCTTTTAGACCATGTGACCACCCAGCGGCCCCCGTTCACCGGTGGCCCCCCTCTAATATCATCCGGTCACGTGTCGGCAGGTCAACCGGCGTATCGTGCCCCAACGTAACCCTGGCTGGCTGACGCTCTCTCTCGCTCCCTCACCGGGAGCCCGCACCGCACACTGTACGTGGTGCCTCCGCGTTGACCAGCGCTCACCCAAGCCCCACTAGGGCTGGTGGTACTACACCCAGTAAGCGGGCTACACGTAATGCCAACACATTAACTGCCGTGGCTTCGTAAGCCCGGCACCACACAGTGACAATCACAATCACTACACTTGTAAATAAATTGGCCGTGCATTCATTCAATCATCAGCCATGATAAGTGCACTGCTGGATATGAAGACCTTTGCAAGCAGTTGCAAGCCGTTTGGCATCTGCGCACGAGCTGAATTTATCTCTGCACCCCGCCTGCGATGGACATTCTCCACTTTGCCTGCTATTCCTTCACCTTTCTTGCCCGCTGACCATCAATCCTCACCCCCCCCGCCCCCCCTTGTGACATTCTGTCAAAGCCCCATGTCCGTTTCTATGCCACCTAACGCGCACTGTACAACCCTTGTGTAAAATCCCCAAAAAACTGTATTTTAACAGGCCCACCGAGCTCTATAGCTATTTTTTCAGAAGCGACCTGGCCACAAATAATAGCTAGTTCAAAGAAAGTGGCTTATAAATGTGGAGGGGGAAAAATTCACTTGAGCACAGGGAGACGTACGCAAACTCCAAAATATACAGGCGTCCGGGTAGGGATCAGACCCACAACCTCCTGTATACCAAGCGAGGGAGATGACATCTCCTAGCCACCACGGCGTAGACTTTGTCATTGTGATCAGATTCATCCTTGCTTGTCTGGCGTTGGATCCGGACCAGTGCACGAGTCTCGAGTGTTCTGCGATTGGATCGGTTTCATCGAATGAAGCTAAGGATGTTGACATTTTAATCCGGAAGAGCGAGAATGCCGTGACGGATTTATACAAAAAAAATTTCCATGGGAAGCGACTTGTCGCGTTTGTGGTTTTCGTGGCGGAAATGACTTGAATTTCCCCCCCCGGGTTACGGAGCGTTTAGGCATGCGTGTTATTTAAAGCATTGAAACAATAATTACTTTCCGTGAGCTGTTTACAATTGAGCGATAAACAAGCCGTGGACGAGCCTGTTTTTTTACAGCGAAGTTATTTTCCAGTACAGTCGATGATAATGCTGAAAAAATGTGTCCATCTGATCATCATCGTTGTTGTTAAAGTTTTCATATCTATGATGATCACGTACAAATCGTCATCATATTAGATCATAATCAGATTCACCATCATCATCATCCCCCTGGCAGTGATTAAATGAGTAGTGACAGGAAAGCAGTGGTCATCCTATGGGGCAGACTTGTCCCTTGCCATGTCAATGTGGAATTTTAAACCGAGTGCCCCCCCCCCTCCACCAAGCTCGCTGGAGCAGGGTAACGTTAGTCACGAGGGCAACAGCTGTTGACTTATCACAAGGTGGTACTCATTGTATCAAGATGTTAACTCCCTCCCCTGGTGTATTTGGAGTTTGCGTTCTCTCTCACGGATTTTTCTCTCTACCATTTGGCTGCTGTAAATATCCATGCAATGAGCCACTTTGTTGACCTATCACTTGTGACCAGGTCGTTTTATGAAAAAGAGCTACATAGCTCAGTGGGCCTTACCTGGTAACATAAAATACTTTATAGTTTTTAAATAGTTTATCTGGATAGATTGCGAATATTTCTCCAAACAACAATGATCCTGAATTTTTTTTATGCAATCCTTGAGCTACCCGAAGCCTTGTTCGTGTTATCCATAAATATTAGCGTGGCGACAATGTCTTGTTTTTTTAGCCATCGAACAAAGACTGGTCGCAATGCGTCGCTTTCAGATGCACTTCTGTGGCTGTCTGGAAAGCTCTCTTCCTTCCGATTCATTAGGAAGCCACTGGGAGATATGCACTTTTCAATCATCCAGATTGAAAACTAATTTATTTTAACTGTTTTTTGTTTTTTAGTTTGCTGTCCTTCCCCCGCATCTCCCGATTTTTTGCATGGTTGGCTACGTGTTTAGCTTGTACAATGTGCGAAGAGCCAATGCCTTGCGCGGTCCCCTTTTCCTTCCGTGTGCCGTCCCGACTTTCGCACGTGCTCCTACAGCCTGTTAAGGCTATACGGGGGATCTTTGCCTGTATCTTTGTGGTGGGCTTGTGTGCTGGAGCTTCTCGCCTTGGCAGGAATTCTGGAGGTTTAGTGACGCGGGGGATGAGTTGCCCCCCCCCCCGTGCCACGGGCCTCTCCCCCGTGCTGTGGGGTTGGAAGGTTACTTTGCCGCGGCTCCTTGTAACGTTTTTCTGGGCCGTGCCGCTGCAACGTGGTTGTCCGGCATGTACGGAAGACACTCTCGGCATGCGGGAGCGAAACGTCGGACGCCCGCACCTCCGATAAGCCCACCGTGCCTCCCGACTTTTGGCTACGTACTGTGAGAAAGAAGTTCGGTGTACGTACACAACTTGCCGAACGACAACAACGACGATGACAATGCGCTGCGGCGAAACCCGCAAACCACATGGAAGAGCGACGCAGCACATGGAAAATATTCTTGAGCGGTTTATATGTCTGTCTGGGAGTTCACTATGGCCGCGTCAGACACTTGAGCTGGCGGTGTGGCAGTTATGGGCTCGGGTTATGGGCTCGGGTTATGGGCTCGGGTTATGGGCTCAAGCACTGGGCCATGGTGTTTCTCTCTCGCTCTCTCTCTTGGAGGGGGATTCATAGTAATCGTCGTTTTGGAGACAGTGAGCCAGCACTGCTAAACGTGATATCACGATGGCCACGTCACAGACACCGAGAGACTCCCAGCACGGGGTGCTTAACCGTCTTGGCGGCTCTGGCGCAGTTATGAACGTCTCTCGGACGTTCGTAACGGTCGTGTCAGAAACACCCCGACTCTGGGATTGAACCCAGCGCGTCTCGGTGGCTCTGTCTCTGTGTCTCCCACACACAACCATCGTAAACATGATGCCCTTTTTCGCGGCGAATGCTTTGCTCACAGTTTCCGACCGTCCGTGTGTCCTGCTTTCGCAAAATGAAAAGACGACCTTGTATTTATTGAGGGTTTTTTTTCGGGAACAGTGCGATTGCTGTTCCTGTTTTTAATATAAAATCTCACGAAATGCCACTTGGGAAAGTATGGAGTAACCAACCGCATTATCGGATTAAATCCGGAGACAATCGCTTGAGTTTATTTTGCGATGAGCCACGAGCAGAGGCGTAGACAAATGTGACTTTGTATTCCTCAAAAGTCACATGATGGGGGGGGTGGTGGTGTGGGTTGTATTGAGCCAGTGGTGGAAATTCTACATTTCCATGGAAGGGGCATGTGTGTGTGTGTGTATGGGAAGCGGTGGCGCAGTGGTTAGTACACTGCGCTCCAATTCCGGCGATCTGGGTTCAATTCCCGTTCACGGGAATTTAATTAATAAGTTCCTTGGCCTCTTCTGCGTCGACTCGGCCAGGCGTGGTGTTGGCCACTCGCCGCCTGGTCTGCCGTGCTGGCCTTCATAGGTGATGCCTCAACAGTGTGTTGAAGGTCGAGGGGATCTTTGTTTATATATGCATGCATATCTATATGTGGACTTTAGGACCGTGGTGAGGCCCTTTTTATTGGTCTTCTCTCACAACACCGCTTAGTCGCGCTGCATGGGCTACTTGAAGTCTATTTTATCTCTGTTACGTTAGATGGCGGTCGCACAGTGGTCGGCGCGCTGCGCTGTGCTACGCACCTGGTGACTTGCGTTCAATTCCCAAGCGTCTTCGGCCTCTTAAGTAAACAGAATGCTCTCCTGAACGGATAAGATTGTGTGCGGCAAGCGGCGCGTTTGTGGGTGCGAACACGTGCGCAGAGCCGCTACCGGTGGTGTCGATCGGCCTCCATTGGAGGAAGGTTTTCTTTTTTTCTGAAGGAAGCTGCCGAGCAGTTGGAGTTTTGTCGCCCTCCGGCAACAACAACGGAGGGCGGAGGAGCGATGCTCGCAACAACAAACACTGAATTTTGGCAATGTGTGGAGCACATTGGGTGCATCTGCCAGTCATTTCAGGCAGTCGACCCATAACGCCTGGGTCTCGTTGTGAGCTGCAAACAATGAGCCTTCGACAACTCTCATGATGTCCTCGAAGTAAACCTAGCCTGGCGCAAGCTCTGTGGTGATGTGACCGTCACCTAGGCGTGAATGGGAGCTCCTTGTTATTTGGTGCGTTTGTAATTGGAGGGGAGGGGTGGTGTGACATTTCCTGTGGCTTTATTTTGTCCTTGCCAGGAGAGTACCTGCCGTGGTGTGTTTTAAACTTCAGCACTGGGGTGACAAAGTGGCCGGTTGTGGTGCTGACTAAAAACCACCCTTTCATGCTCAGTCGAGGTCTTCATTGGTGATTGCCACCAGCACTTGCCCTCTTGAGTCATATATATATGTGTGTGTGTGTGTGTACGTGTCGTCACAGATATTTGGGGATTACTATCATTTCCGGCATCGGGCGGTCGCAAAGCGATCCCTGTCAAGACATCACAACCGGAATCTGAAGCTGCAAAAGGAACCCAAGGTGAAGTCGCACACACTCTCCCCCCCCCCACCCTCGCCTCGATGGACAGCGCGAGGACAGTCCCGCCTGATGGGGCTGTCTCCAATAGCACGCTCGCACAGTAGTCTCTCTTGGGGTCTCTCTCTCTCTCAATACAATGATGGACTTTGAGGCCGTGGTCTTAGATGGGCTCTCTAGACTTAAATATATCCGCTCGCAGTGGTTTCTCGCAATACAAGATTAAATTTCGATTTAAAGCTTTCGTGACTGCAGGGATTCATATTCTTGGTTCTTTCGATAAAGTCACGTAGAAGGGAAATGATAAAATAATGAAAATATAAAACAATAAAAAATTCTCACGACGTTTCGACTGCAACACAAGCAATCATCATCAGGTGTGAAATCCACAGCAAGAAAATTTGAAAAAAGTGAAAAAATATTTTTTATTGTTTTATATTTTTATTCTTTTATATTTCCTTTCTACGTGACATTACCAAAAGAACCAAGAATATAATACAAGAGTTGTTTCTCAAACTCTTTTTTGCTCCACGGACCGCTGAGTCGATGCAGACATTTCCGCAGACCCACCCAGCCCCAACCCTGGTAACAAATCGCATTCACTTCTCTCTAAACTACCACTAATACTAAATGATTCATGTTTCCGGAACATAATTGTTTTTTTTGCGGCGCTGAAAGGGTTTTTTTTTTGAGAGGGTATTTAGATCTTGGGGTTATGGTAGTTTACCAAACTTCATTTTTTTAAATTAATTTATATAAAAAATATTAATGAAGACATTAATTTATATTATATTAAAAATATAAATTAATGTCTGAAATCAAACGGATAAATGTTGTCGTTATTTCTGGCACAACCTGCGTTTGCATCACCGTCACCGCGGGACTACCTGGCAGACCTGTCGCGAACCACGTTCAGAGAACAGCCGCAATACAACAATCGACTTGGAGACCAGTCTTAGATGGGCTCTCTCTCTAGACTTGAATCGAAGACTCGTCTCTGATCGGCTCTGTAGAATTTCGGCTTGGTATTCCAGTCTCGGACGGGGGGGGTCCCTAGACAACAATCGACTCGCACAGACTGCTTTGTGATGGGCTCTGTAGAATCTAGGCTTTTGACATTCCAGTCTCTGATGGGCTTTCGAGACAACGGCGGGCGGACAGAACGGTCTCTGATCAAGTCCGCATCAGACAAGAGACTTCCTGTCCTTCTCCGCCCCCACGATCGAGTCACGTGCTGCGTGCGCTGTGACGCCGCCGAGTTAGCGGTTTTTATCGCTTCGCATTTACGCAGCTGTGAATGTCGCCAAACCGCAAAGTCTCCTCCCCACCCACGGTATCCCACGCCCAGCCGTCTCCATGTCTCTCTGGGTACAGCTGCTGCCACCTCGGGGGTTGGGGAGGGGCAATTTGAATTGCGCCACTGTGCGAAAACGGAACGCGACCGAGTTTTGCGTTGTGGCCAAAAATGGGTCCCTGCAGCCACGCTCAAGGGATGGATGAATGGCACCGGCCCTCGAAGGTCACCCTGAGGGGTCGATGCAAAGCGACCCGGTTTGCATCGGCGTCATCGGCGTCGTCATCGTCGTCATGGTCGTCATGGTGGCGAGGGCGCCATGGTCCCGAGATTTTGACTACCTCGCCTGATGTGCAGGATGTCATGGGTTATTAATGATGCCCACCCTTGATGCCTGTGTATTTGGAGTTTGCGTGTCTTTGCACGTGGTCGCCTGGATTTTTCTCCCAGGTCCTTCTGGTTTTTCCCTCCACATTTAGAATCAACAACACGAGTTTCGAGTATTTGTCTGCTATAAACTTCCACTTGATAAGCCACTTCGTTGAGCTATCATTTGTGATGACCCGATCACTTCCGACAGAGCTACATAGTAGCTCCTGTGGGCCTTGCTGTCCGCCGGGATGCGTTTCCTCCTTGTGGTGGCGGCGGCGGCGTCACTGGAGGGCGAGCAGCTCAGTGTTTTATTTTACCAGGTAAGGCCCACTAAGCTATATAGCTCTTTTTTTTTTCCCAAAGCGAACTTGCTATCACAAATGATCGCCCAATGAAGTGGCGCTTATCATCATCATCACGTGGACATTTATCGCAGCCAAATACTCTGAAAGGCACGTCGATGTTGATTCTAAATGCGGAGGGGGAAAAAAAACAACAACGGAGAAACCCAGACAAAAATCCACGGGACTACGGGGAAAGAGCGAGACACGCAAACTCCAAATATGCAGCAGGCGTCGTGGTCGGGATTGAACCCGCGACTTGGGAGAACGGTAAGCAAGTCACGAAATATAAATAAATAAACACCACACAGCAGTCGTCTCCCTCTGGCTGTTGTCGTCTCAGTCTCGCCAACAACGACCCGTGGACTTTTAGTCAAGTCATGGTCAGGTGCTGGCCACACCGCTGAGTCGCCTTCCTCACGCTCGGTTGCACAAAATCAACTTGCCCTTAGAAGGCCTCTCCTGCCCTTCGCCCAGGTGCAATGGGCCGAGCAGCAGGTGGTGAAGGCCCGGAGGAAACGGGAGCTGTTCCAGGAGCCCACCGATCCCAAGTACTTGCTGCAGTGGTATCTGGTACGTGGACCCGCACTCTCCAATGCACGCCGACGCCTTGAATTGTAATGTAATGCACGCCACTGCCTTGCAATGTGAAGCAATGCAGACGCCTTGAATTGTAATGTAATGCACGCCACTGCCTTGCAATGTAATGCACGCCGACGCCTTGCATTGTAATGTAATGCACGCCACTGCCTTGCAATGCAGACGCCTTGCATTGTAATGTAATGCCGAGGCCTTATACCCCAGCGTGTTACAATGCACGCTAACACATTGCGCACCGATGCATGGCTAGCCATCGAACAAAGACGGGCACGGCATTGCCCGTTTTCAGATGCTCTTCTGCGGCCATCTGGAATGTTCTTTCGGTACTAGGAAGTCACTGGAGCTGTGCATTTTTAAGTTTACATTGAAAACTAATTTATATCAAAGTGCTTTTTGTGTTTCGTGTGTTTTTCCTGCCGATTTTCAGCACGTAGCCAACTGTGCTAATGGAGGTTAGCACGGTTGCCTATGTACGGAGCAAACAAAGTTTGACATGAATACGAAATGTACACCAATGCATTATAATAGACACCAACGTATAACAATTCACACCACCATGCATTGCAGTAGATGACAGTGCAACAATGGATTGCTTGAGACCGCAATGTCTTATGGCAATGCTTTAAATGCACACCGTGTTGTTTAAGAGGCTCGTGAAGGACGCTGCTGCTACTGGGCAGTGTGACGCATTCACCCTCCAGCAACAACGAAGGGCGGAGGAGCGACGCTCGCAATAACGAGCGGCGCACCGGGTGGCTAAAGCGCAGCGAGTTGGCACAGTAGGGGGCACAGGTGGTGCATCGGCCAGTCCTCTCGGTAGGTCAACCCATGGCACCTGCTGGGTCTGCCCCGTGACCTCCTGCCAGCAACAAACCATCGAACGCATCACCTGGCCTCGGTACACCCAGCCTGGCACGAGCGCCGTGGTGACGTCGCCGCCACTTGGTGGCGAACGGCGGTTATTGCTGCCGCTGCTGCTGATGTTGTAGTATCGGTCTCCTCCCCCGCGCCCTGTGTGAGTGCAGCACAACAGCGTGCACCACGACCTGAACGTGCTGGCCGCGTGGAGCCAGGGCGTCTCGGGCCGCGGCGTCGTCGTCTCCATCCTCGACGACGGCATCGAGAAGAACCACCCCGACCTGGTGTCCAACTACGTGAGTGCAGCTCGGGGGGGGGGGGGGGGGGCGGCGGGGGTGGTGGTGGATGGACACGGTGAGGGGCAGGGGGTGGGTGTCTGAATACTAAACACTAACATTAAACTACAGCAGATGACTCTATTATCCGCGCTAATCACGGGGGAGGACCGCCGCTGATAATTCAAAATTGCGGATGATCCAAAAATATCAATTTCCACGGATCTCTATGCAAAAAACCGCTTAATATCGGTATAGATGAAGAACGCACGCTCACGATCGAGCAATCAACGCACGTGCTCGGTGCTAACACTTTCCTGCTCCCGTGCAGAAGACTCGGCCCACGAAGTGAGTTGCAGAGCCACGCCAATCATCAATGAAACTCCACCCACCGTTGTAAAGATATGCAACGATTGTACTGCACTGTAGGGGCCATCGCGTGGATTTCGGGTTAACCGGAGCACATATTTGTTCGTTTTAAATGTTTATCGCACGTGACTTTCAACAAACATTTACAAGAATAACAATGCATAACTCTTTTTAGATTATTCATTTGGGCTTGAGGGAAAAAATAAACTGCATGCGTAATAATTGAGTCTCTGCTGTATGTTTATTTACCATGTAAGCCCCACTGAGCTACTTTATAACTTTAAAAGCAAACTTGGCTTCGCGAATGATGGCTCAACGAAGTGGCTTGTTACCGCCTTGTGGAAATTTACAGCAGCCAGCGCAGTGTCACTGTGGTATCCGTCCAGGAAACCTGGGGCCAGTGCCCGGCGCGGCATTGTAAGTCTCGACAGCCGCACGAAGAGTACTGGCTGTGTGTGTGCGAGTGTGCGTGTGGGGAGCAGGAGTGTAGCGGTTAGCGAGATGCACAGGTGGTGCATCGGCCAGTCATCTCAGTCAGTCGACCCATGGCACCTGGTTCTGCCCCTTGACCTCCTGCCAGCGGGCGTTCGACACTTCACATGGCCTTAACGTGCACTTAGCCTGGCACAAGCGCCATGGTGACGTTACCGCCACTTGGTGGCGAATAGCGGTTGTTGTAGTCGAGCGGTAATGTAGCGGTTAGCGAGCTGCGCTACGAATCTAGTGACCAGAGTTCAATTCTTGCTCTCGGCGAACACCAGGGACGATTATCGGAAACCGGTTCTGAGCCTCCCCGAGGTCGGGCGTGGTGCTGGCCAACCACCCCCTCGTGTGCCGTACCGGCCTTCATAGGTGCTACTCTCTAACAGCACTTGCCCTGACAGTCTGTTTAGGCTACACGGAGGGGGGGGGATCTTTATCCTTGTGTTTGCGAGCAGGATCCCATGGCGAGCTACGACGTCAACAGCAACGACCCCGACCCCCAGCCGCGCTACACGGAAATGAACGACAACAGGTGAGGTCCACGAGTGAGCTGGGTGAGTGGGTGAATGGGGAGTGGGGTGAGTTGGTGAGCAGACGAGCGAGTTAATGAATGAGCGAGTGCCGAAGTGAAGTGAGAATGTGCTAGCGGCTGAGTGAGCGGATGTTTTGGTGGGGTGATTTGAAATGGGGGCTTGTTGGGGGGGCGGTAGTTGTTTGGATGGGTTGGTGGGTCCGTAAATGCGGCTAGTGGTCACGTGAGTGAGTATACGAGTTAACGGGCAAGTGATTGGATGGGCTTGCATGGTGGTCGAGGTGGGCCAGCGGGGGGGTTGGTGAGCGCGATCTTGCCCGTCTTACCCGCAGGCACGGCACGCGCTGCGCCGGAGAGGTGGCGGCCGCGGCAAACAACGACGTCTGCGGCGTCGGCATCGCCTACAACGCTCGCATCGGCGGTGAGCGTCGGTTGCCCTCGCCCAACCCGAACACTCGCTCGTCCGCTCGTGTATCCACACACTCGCTCACGTGTCCCCGTGTGTGTCCCCCCCCCCCCACCACGTGTCCCTCCCAGGCGTTCGCATGCTGGACGGGGACGTGACGGACGCGGTGGAGGCCCGCTCGCTGAGCCTCAACCCCCAGCACATCGCCGTGTACAGCGCCAGCTGGGGGCCCGAGGATGACGGCAAGACGGTGGACGGGCCTGCGCGGCTCGCACAGGAGGCCTTCGTGCGGGGGATCACCAAGGTACCGGCGCTTGCGTAGAATACGCAGACAGACAAAGAACCCCCCTCCCCCCCCTTATGGTATAGCCTTAGCAGACTGCTGGGGCAAGTGCTGTTCGCAAAGACGCACAATACGACGGTAGGTGGTTCGTCAAGCGAGTTTAGGAAATTCACAAAGGCTTAATTTGTTCCGATACAATCGAAAGTTACCACCTTTTCGCCCAAAAAAGTACTTAAATATTTAAACAATGGATACTCTCTATAAGCATATTGTTTACTGTACCTACAACTGCCCGTCGTTAACAGGGGAATGGCCGGTAGGCAAACACAATTGGGCTCTATGGAGGCACTACTCTACATTACACTATACACTACACTACTATAGACTGCACGATACACTACACTACTATACACTACACATTGGGCTCTATTTAAGCCTGTTATTAAGCGAATAACCGTTAACAGGGGTGATCGTTAAGAGGGGTTCTACTGTGCACACCTACACGTTCAAAGGCAACAACAGTTGTCGCCGTTCGCCATTTAAGTGGCAATGACGTTGCCGTGGCGATTGTGCCAGGCTCGGTGCACGTCGAGTCCGTTACCTGAAGTGTGGAAGGCTCGCTGCTGCAAGCAGGTCGTAGGATAGCACCCAGGATGTGTTATGGGTTCACTGGCTGAGATAATTGTGGCATATCCTAGGCACAGGAGTTTAACACGTAGACTCTCGCTCTCGCCTGATGAGGCTGGTGGTAATTCCTGGCGAAACGTCGTACTCGAATTGTAAATGTTGTGGGTTTACTCTCCAACACACCTGTGTAGGCACCAGCTCCTCGTGAGCACGCGCTCTCAGCGGTTGCTTGCTCTGTGTGGACGCGAGCTGCGTGGCTCCGTGTCTTTGCCGCGGCCGTCGCGACCCCCTCAACCGGGGATGTGTGGGCCCCCCCCCCCCCCCCCCCCCCCCCCCCCATTGTCCTCTCTCGCAGGGCCGTGGCGGCCTGGGCTCCATTTTCGTGTGGGCCTCGGGCAACGGCGGTCGCGAGAAGGACAGCTGCAACTGCGACGGCTACACCAACTCGATCTACACGCTGTCCATCAGCAGCACGACGGAGAAGGGCAACGTGCCGTGGTACAGCGAGGCGTGCTCCTCCACGCTCGCCACCACCTACAGCAGCGGCGCTATCGGCGAGAAGCAGATCGTGAGTATGACCAGGGGATCAATACCTCATCCGTCCCCTCCGTAGCTGCCACTCTGTCTACACTTAGGGTCTAATCCGTTTTCCTCTCTCGGCTACCTCCCTGCCCAAAACTCCCACCGCCACCCCCCATGCCTTCAAACTGCTGACCTCTCTCAAGCGCCCCCTTCTGTTTAAATTGCCACCCTATCTGTTAACTGCCATCACCTCCCAAACTGTCCGATTTCGCCCTCTCGCGACTGCCCCGCGCTTTGTAAGCTCCCTGCCACCCGACGTTGACGCCGCCTCCCGCGTTGAAAAACTGTCCCCTCCCACCCCCCGCACCCCCCCCCCAGGTGACCACGGATCTGCGGCTCAAGTGCACGGAGAGCCACACGGGCACGTCGGCCTCGGCCCCGCTCGCCGCCGGCATCATCGCGCTGGCGCTCGAGGCCAAGTGAGACGCGTTGTCCTGCTAGACCCCCCCCCCCACCCTCGCCGACGTCGTGCCATCTATGCTCTCACATGGGTCGTGTTAATTATTTTAATTGTTGTGAGTGTCACGTTAGCCATAGCTATGTTATCCGTGCGTCACGTGTGGCTGTGTCACCAGCCCCCGTCTCACCTGGAGGGACATGCAGCACCTGGTGGTTCGCACGTCCAACCCCTCGCACCTTCACGCCTCCGACTGGGTGACCAACGGTGTCGGTCGCAAAGGTGACGCTCGCGCACCGCTCACTTCCCCCGCCGAGGCGCCGGGTTCGAGTCCAGATCTCCCGCCGACCTGTCTGTCTGTCCGTCGACCCGCGAGTTTAGCGGGGTCGTCGTGTGCAGAGGAGTTGTGGTCTCAGCCGGGTGACTTGATTGTATGTATCGCCTTAGCGGAGTGTGTGTGCGCCCAACTGTGCTAATCGAAGGCCATGGGTGCGCATGCATCTGTTGTTTGTGCCTATGTGCGTCTCTTCTTCGCGTGTGTGTGCACGAGTCTGTTTGTGGCTCTGCGTATTTGTCTGCATCTCTGCGCGTGTCTGTCTGTGTGCGTGCGCAAGACGGCCGGGCGTGGTGTTGCCCCCCCCCCCACCCCCTCGTGCGTCATGGCCAGCCTTCCTAGGTGCTACTCATTAACAGCACTTGCCCTAAAGTTAAAGGCTATATGGGGAGTCTTTGTCTAATCAATGCATGCATCTCTTGTGTGCGCGCGTGCGTGCAAAGTGCGTTCCCGTCTCTGTGTGCGTATGTGCGTGACTTGGTATTTGCTTGCCTGTGCGCGTGTGCGTGCGTCTGTGATGGGGAGCGGGAGTGTAGCGGTTAGCACGCTGCATTACGAACCCGGCGACACAAGTTCGATTCCCGCTCACGGCTAACACCTGTGTCGATGGTCTGAACTGGTCCTTGGCCTTATGTCGACTCCATCTCAATGAGTTTCGAGTGCTGTGTGTAAACTTCTGCCACTAGGGAGACAAAGGCGACCGGGCGTGGTGCTGGCCACCCGCCCCCCTCGTGCCGTTCCAGCCTTCATAGGTGCTCGCTAACAGCACTTGCCCCAACAGTCTGTTAAGGCTACACGGGAGATCTTTGTCTTTGTGCGTGCAGTGAGCCACTCGTACGGCTACGGTCTCCTCGACGCCGGCGCCATCGTGACGCTCGCTCGCAACTGGACGACCGTTCCCCCGCAGCGGGCGTGCACCATGGAGATGAGCACTGAAGCCCGGTCAGTCGTCGCTCACCGGCACGCGCGCTGGCTCCTCTCGCTTACGCGTTCACCGGCTCGCTCAGCCGCTCCCTTGCACGCTCATTCTCTTGCACGTTCATTCGTCAGGTCTTTCGCTCGCTCACCACGATATCTACACACCGCCGAGGTGAGGCAGACCCAGTACCGCTTTTGATGATAGTGTCACTGGCGATTAGTGGGGAATCGAACTCTGGTCGCCGGCTTCTCAGCGCAGCGCGCTAATCGCTGCGCCGCCGTTCGCTCGCTCGCTCACCGCCAACTCTCTCCCCCGACCCTCGCTGTGCCCCCCCCCCCCTCCCGCACAGCCCCATAGGACAGAAGCTGCTGGTGAGCGGGCGCGTGAGCTCCTGCCTGGGCACCGGCGACTACGTCACCACGCTGGAACACGTGCAAGCCCGCCTCACGCTGGCGTTCAGCCACCGCGGGGAGTTGGCGGTCCGTCTCACCAGCCCAATGGGCACCCGCTGCACGCTGCTGGCACCCCGGTGAGAGGGGGTGGGGGGGGCGGGGGTAAGGGGGGTGGTGCGCGCCGCTGCTGGGAGTAAAACGTGGGATATCGTGCCGAACAAAGACGAAGATCGCCCGTGTAGCTTTAACAGACTTTTGGGACAAGTGGTGTGAGCTGGCACGGCACACGAAGGGTGGGTGGCCAGCAACCACGCCTGGCCGCCTTTGTCTCCCCAGTGGCGATTTGTTTTTACACGCACGGCACCAGGTACTCAATTGAGGCTGACTCGGCCTAGAGGAGGCTCAGGACTGGTTCAGATAATTGTCGGGGGTGGCGGCGGCGGCGGCAGCAGTGGTGGCAAGCGGGAATCTAACCCGGGCTGGTTTGTAGCGCAGCACGCTCACCGCTGCGCCACCGTTCGCCGAGCAACGCGCAGTACAACTTGCGCGGGTGTCGGCGATCTGCGTACAGTGCAACCGCGTACAGTGCGACGGGGAACCCCTGCGTGGCGATGTTCGTGCTCGTCGCTCGCGTTAAACGCGGCGTCGGCGATGATGCTGACATTGTTCCGCAGGCCTCACGATTTCTCGACGGAGGGCTTCAACGACTGGGCGTTCATGAGCACCCACTCGTGGGGCGAGGACCCAACGGGGGTGTGGACCCTGGAGCTGGAGAATACCGGCAGCGTCCGCAACACCGGTGAGGGACCAGGGCCTCGCTCGCACGCCCCGTCCCCTCCCCACCCCCGCTCCGTCCACCTACCGCTCCCGTGACTACGCACCCTCATCCACTACCCCCCCTTCCCTACCTCTCCCTCCCTTCCCCTTGCGCGTGGAGACGAGGACAACGGCGATCTGTGTCCAAACGTACGGCAGCTGCCGACCTGCTCGGCAACGTGAACTCCATACTGGGCTTGGACGATGCCCAGACAACGATGTAATTGTGCAAGCTTCAATGTAATCTTGGTGCTGGCCGTGGTAACCTCGTGTTGCCCCTCCCCGCCCCCCCTACCACCACCACTCGTGCGCGTGTTTGGTGCAGGCACGCTGAAGCGGTTCACGCTGGTGCTTTACGGCACCGCTCACCGCAAGCGCAGCCTGCAGGGCGTCCCCACGGTGGCGTCGAGCGTCGCTTGCCGAGCGCGCGACCCTGCGGGGCTCTGTGTGGGTACGTGGACCGCTAGCTCGCTCGCTCGCGCACACTCACGCACACTCGCACACACGCTCCCGTGCGCACACTCAGATGCTCCTATGCACACCACAAACACTGACGCACGCGTTCTCACGCACGTGTGTACGCACTCACGGACGCATCATTGCCTGCATCCGCCCACCCTCGCCGGCTCCTTAACTCGCCGCGCAAATGCTCGCCGGCGCTCGTGAGCGCCGAGCGTGGTACTTCCGACGCTTGCCACCACCCTCCACCACTCGGGTGAACGCCATCGCTCACCTGGTGAGACACGCCGTGCCACGTTTCCCGTCTTACCTCCATATTCTCTCCCCATGCATTCCCACCCCTTCCCCGTATCTGCCTTCAACTACCCGCGCATCTCCTTTCTGCCGCTCGCGTATGTTCCCATGTCTTTCTTCCCCTCCCTGTGACTCCCAGTGTGTCCCCCGTGTCTCCTTTGACCTCCCCCGTGCATCCCCCCCCCCCCTATCTTCCTTCAGCCTCCCTGTGTGTCCCGGTTGTCTCCCTGTGCGTCCCCGAAGTCTTCCCATGCCTCTCCCCTCGCATCCGCCGTGTCTTCCATTGCATAACGCTGTCTCCCCGTGTGCAGCGCAGTGTGTCCCTGCATCCCCCCGTGTCTCCACGTGTCTCCCCGTGCACTCTCGTGCTCGTGCTGCTTGGTCCCACGCAGGATCGCGGCTGTGGCGGCGGTGGCAGCGGCGTCGTTGGTGGCGCTGGCGGCAGTGCGGGGCCCCCCAGGCGGCGCGCTCGCAGTCGCCCTAGCCTAGGCAGGAAGCAGGATAGGGCCCGGCAGGGAAGGCAGGAGGAGCGTGCGGTGAGTGACCCCCCCCCCCTCCCCCAGGCAGGCAAGGCACCGCCCTCACGGACCCCGCTGGGGCGCAGAGCAGCCTCGAGCCAGACCAGGCCAGGGGGGCGTTGATTGTTACGTATCCGGGTTGTTGACGACGGGTGTTCGTCGTGGTTTCCCCGAGCACGCGGTGTTGGTGACGGACATTGAATTTCTTCCCAGAAAACTTTCCTCGGCTAAGAAGAAAGGAATTTTTTTTTTCCTAAACTTGACTAAATCGGTCCCCATAATGTCGACCAATCCAAGTTTCAACTTTCAACCACGGGTGTCTTCGCAAAATGCCGACCCCCCCCCCCCCCCATTAATTTGTTAAGCCAAGCGGAGATTGGGATGAGTGGGGATGGGTAAGGGGGGGCACACGCGTGGTGTCTCATCCTCTCGCTGCTTGGCGCTTCTGTTTTTGCACTGTGGGTCCCAGTCGCGCGATTTAAAACCCGGCGCACCGCTTCAGAAACCGTCGTGCACCTCAATCGTCACCCCCCCCCCCCCGCTGCCATGTCTGAGGTGAGGTGGTTGCGCAACGAGAAAGGGGGGAGGCACGGCAAAGGTTTCTCGCCATGCCCCTTTACAGCAGAGCCCCCACCTTCTTCCTGGATAGCCCCCCCCCCCCCAAAACCAACATGTGGTGACGAAACTCGTCCCTTGCCATGTCGCCGAACCGATCGGTCGCTCGAAAGTCTAAATTGTTTTGCTTTCACAATCAGTTTGGCGCAACTGCTCCCCTTGCAACCGGTCGGTAGGGACGTCTGCGTAAGCCATTTCGGTTGCATGCTGCCCCACTGAGTTGCGCAACTCGGCCTGCTCCGATGTGGGACCCAGCTTTGGGCAAGGGGGTGACCTTTTCTCTTCTCCTCCGTGTTGGGTGGGCGGGAGTGATGGGGTGGACTTTGTTGTTGCACTGTGTTCACGTTGTGTGCCGAGAGCACGCAGGCCACGCTTCTCCTGAAAAATGAAATGTACAAGCAGTGCTGCGTTCAGCGTCTCCACGCTATGTAAATAAAACGGAATCTGATGTACCCCCATCGGCCTCCTATTGGATTGTCAGGCCAAATACTATCCCGGAGTGCCTTGTCAAGCGAGCAAGAACTCTGGACCGTTGTCGAGCATCCTAGTCGGACGACTGTGTGTGCCTTTCCCGGATAAATAATGATCGTGTTAAATTTTGACTTAACTTTCGTGACTGCAGGAATTCATATTCTGTGGTTCCTTCGGTAAAGTCACATAGAAAAAAGAATAACAATAAAATAATAATAAAAATAAAGTGAAATAAAAATCACGACGTTTCAATTGCAACACAAGCAATCGTCATAAGGAGGAAAAAAGGGGGAAATCTGCTGGCGCAGGCTGTTTTATAAGGGTTTCGAGATGGGCAGGGCAACAACTTATTTTTATTTTATTGTTATTATTTTTTCTATCTACGTGACTTTACCTGTAGAACCATAGACTATTATCACGTTAAGTTAGTATTAAAATAAATCATCACCCTGCTGCCAACTGCCCAAAGTCGGCAAAACTTCGCAGGGAGCTGTGGTTTGTGTGTGCGTGGTTCGGCCCTTCTCACCACCCCTTCCGAAGCACTCTCACCAGTAAACCGTGTCTCCGCGAGGTTTGCGACCACGTCCTGGCTTCTCCCGGTGTCTCTGAACCTTACCTGCGGGGGAGCACTCTTCTGTGTCGGAGCTCGCAGCCTGCGGTTGCTTTTTTTTAATGATCGGTTTTTTCCCCCAATCACATCTCCCGAGCACCACGGGGTCGTTTGGCTGCCGCTGTGACCCGACCATCGCGTGGCAGCTGCAGCTCCCCGAGTGTTTACCCCCCCCACTCGCCTACCACACGCTTGGCTGTGCCAACCGCTAGCCTGCTGGTCAACCACCCACTGTCCCCCCCACCCGCTCGCTCGCCCATCCACTCGCCCTCTCGTCTGCACCGCACACGCTCATCCGTACCCGCTCACTGACCCACTCGCCTGCTTACCCACCCATCCACTCACCAACTCCTCATTACCACTCGCCCATCCACTCACCTACTCCTCATTACCATCCACCCGTCCACTCGATCGCGTCCGCATCATCGCCACCCCCATCCACTCGCTCACCAACTCATCCCCTCCGCATCCCACTTGCGGGGGCCCGCCCACCCCGCCAATCCTCCCAGAAGACGCCTGTGCCCAATTTGAGCTGGCGCCGACCTCCCGTAGGGAAAACGCCGGGGAAAGTTGCTGGAGCGGTGCTGACGCACGTCGGCTGACAGTGTTGGTGGCGGTGGTGGTGGCGCGCGCCTTGCTGCTGCTGTCGTGCGCCGCGCCGCCGCTGTTGTCTGGCAGAGTGTAGGCCGCCCTTCCTGCTGTTGGGCCACGCCTGCGTGCAGCGCTGTCCCAACGGCACCTTCGCCAGGGAGCCGGAGCAGCAGCCCGGGGGGGCGAGGAGGAGGCGGTGGCTGCGGGAGCGGCAGTGGAGGCCGGAGGATTCGGAGGATTCGGAGGAGCATCGGGTGACGGAACAACAGTGGAAGCGAGACGACTGGCAGCAGCATTTTCCACCCAGCCGCGGTGGACCGTCGTCGTCGTCGTCGTCACCTCCACCACCGCGGTTAGCAGCAGCTGGAGCGTCGTCGTCGTCTTCGTCGCCGTCGCTGTGCGAGGAGTGCGACGCATCGTGCGTGTCGTGCTGGGGGCCCGGCCCGGCCGCGTGCCTCTCGTGCGCTCCCCACTCGCGCCTCGTTGCGTCGCGCTGCGTCCCGCAGCCGCAGGTCGGCCGTGCGTCCCCTCCGCTCTCCCTCTCGTCGTCCGGCGACGGCGACGGCGGCGCGTCCCCCGAGGCGACGACGCCGCCGCTGGTGGACTTGCGGCGCGCCGCCGCGGTCGCCTGCGTCGCCGCCGTCGCCCTCTTCGCCGTCCTCTTTGCCGTCCTGCAGCTGCGCTCCGGCGAGTGCGGTGCCGGTGCCCGCGCCCTGAGGACCGTGTGGTTCACCTCGGCCGGAGGTGGCGGTGGAGGCGGCGGCGGCGGCGGCTCCTGCTGCTGCGGGGACGTCGGCGAGAGCGGAGGAGGAGGGGGAATGGCCGTGTCGTACGAGGAGCTGAGCGCCAAGGCGCCCGACGAGGGCTTCATGGACGAGGACAGCGACGCAGAGCTGCACAGCGAGACGCGGGCCTTCATCCAGGGCTGACGACGCCGCCGCCGCCATCGCCTTTCGTCCTGGTTACTGTTCCCGGGGTCGCCCTCTCCGTGTGCGTCTCTGTCGTTGTGACTGTGGCCGATCTCGCTCCTGGAGACGTTCCCCCGTCTCCGCTTGAGTCGTTGTTTCGCTGCTGATGCTGCTGATGCTGATAAATGCCCGAGGACGCGAAACATCTCGCGTCGCGATGTTTGTCGGCCGTGAGAATGACCACGCGATCCCGCCGCTCGATGCGTTCACGTTTTATCTCTTTCCCCCCCCCCACCCCTCCCACTTGCGGTATTGTTGCGAGGCTATTTATCTACCCACCCCACACCTGTCCCACCCATGCCCCACCCCGAGGTGGCAACCCGACCTGACGGGGAGCCGTGGAAGATGGCGGCCGTTGTTTATTGGCCGTGCGTAAAATCCATCTCTAGCGCCGTTTTATAAATCTCGTGGGCAGATTTGAGTTGGCCGTTGTTGTTGCGGTGCAGCTGTTTGTGTGTGTGTGTGTGTTTTTAGTGTGCTTTGTCTTGTTGGGGGGTGGTTGTTTGTCTTTGTTTGAGGTTTATTGTGTCGTCTAGGGATTTGTTTGTGACCTCACCAAATTTAGATTTCCGTTGCGTGTGCACGTTTTTGATTCCGCGTTTGCAGTTTTTCGTTTTTAGGCGGAGATTCATTTTTTTAACTCGTCATTTTGTTGTGGTTGTTGCTCGTCAGAATTGGGTGTTTGCGTGCAGCCCGTTTCGTTTAGTCGTTGGGACGAAGCGCCGCCGTGCGACCGTTTTGTTTTTGTCGTTGGTAGCTTCCGTCTTGTTCCAGTCACGCGTTCTCTCTCTCTCTCTCTCCCCCGTGCATTTTTTTTGCGTCCTCTGCCGCGTGCCGTTCAGGACGATGTCTCTAAATGACGTCGTTTCGTCACGCGAGCGGCACGACACGAGATGGCGCGCGCGTGCGAGGGTTGCGCAGCTGTGCACGTTGCATTATTATTTTTCTTCCTTCCCGGTTGTTTTCGTCTTCATGATGCAGCTGTGCTCGGAGTGCAAATTCCTCGTTTGTCCTTAAGACAATTCCGGTCTTTGTGTTTCTGCAGCTATCTTTAAGTTTTTGTTCGTCGTTAATTCTTTCACGCGGTTTTTTTTGTGTAAGTTTTGGCAGCATCAAAATGTTTTGTTATTTTTGTGGCCCATTTTTTTGTGCGAACTTAATAGTTGAGCTCCCCAATATTTGTAAAATGTTTTTTGTTTAATGGTTTTTTTTTGTGGTGGGTACGTGTGGCCCATCTCCAAGGTCCGTCGACACCACACTACACCTTCGTTGTTTGCCGCTGGCAAATATTTTCACGGGAGCCAAGAAATTTTTTTTTTTGGACCGTCCGCACGTGGTTTGCTGGAAACCTCTTAAACACCGGGTTTGCAAGTGGCTATGTTCGTAATTGTTAACACTGTTTAGCTAATTATCACCGGCTATTGGTTAGCCTCCAGCGTGCTGCACCTGTGGATGTTGAGGTTTATCGTGTGCGTATACGCCGGCGTCGCTGCGTGCGCGCATCGACACGCTGTAAGTCTACTCTACGGTGTATGATGGGATGGTATATGCACATGTCTTTATTTTGACTCTGCTGTTTCGAACCTGTAGAGTGGTGTGTGCCAATGTGCACTGTGTGTGTGTGCGCGCGTGTGCCAGTGTGCACTGTGTGTGTCGGGAGCGGTAGTGCAGCGGTAAGCGCCGCTACGAACCCGGTGACCAAAGGTTCGAGTCCCGATCGCGGCCAACACCAGGTGATGGATGATCTGAACCGTTCTTGGGTCTCCCCTATGTCGACTCGGCCTCAAATGAGTACCCGGAGCGGTGTGTAAACATCACCGCCGAGGAGACAAAGGCGGCCGGCGTGGTGCTGGCCACCCACCCCCTCGTGTGCCGTGCCGGCCGCCTTCACAGGTGCTGCTACTCGCTAACAGCACTTGCCCGAATAGTCAGTTGAAGGCTATACGGGGAGGAGATCTTTGTCTCTATTTGTATATATTTGGTCTTGTATATGTTTTGTATACGTGTAACATCATGTTCACGTGCAGATATAAAGTGCATCTATTTTAAATACATGTGCCTATAATGTTGCTGAAATGGTGTGTATTTATACTGTATAGTGTTTTCTGTATGCTACATGTTGTGAATGTACCTATATGTGTGTGTCTGCCCATCTACACTATGCATTAAGTACGTGCGTGTGTGTGTGCACTACTTCTGTAATACACACACAGCCAGTGTGTCGTGTAATATTACCTATATGGTGTGTGCCGTTACATCAGCACTGTGTGAGGAGCGGTGGCACAGCGGGTTGGCGCACTGCGGTGGTGTCTGACCCCCCCCCCCCCCTCCCTGTTTTGCGTGGTGTGAAACTAAATATCCAACACTGGAGAGACAGGTTGCAGAGCGTAGCGCTGTGATGGGTCGCCTTAATAGGTGCTTGCAAACAACAACAACAACACTTTGCCCTGGCAAGCGGTGTACAAGCTTTACGCTTCCGTTGTGTAAATCTGTGTAGTTCTGTTGAAAAAATGTGCGTGTGAAAGTACTGTATACATACATATCCAGCAAAGGACAGCATAGTCTTAAGTGTCTGTATATAAAACGGGTGCGTGTGTGTGTAAATAGATGTACGAAACATTGCTGCTGCTGCTGTTGCTTGGGGTAAAAGAATGCAAAAAAAAAATTGAAAGTCCTTTTTACAACACGTGACTTAAATTCTTGGTTGCTTTACATTCACAGTCCGACGTTTTAATTGCAAGTGTTATCGAACGTCTCGCCGCTTGTGTTTTTCGCATACACGAATATTTACACATACCCTGGTGCGCGTGTACATTATGTACATGTAGCCGATTTTCAGCAACATGCCGTAGGTGTGCGCGTGCACGCACTGTGTGACAGCGTTGCGGTGGTGCAGCCGTTAGCGCCGCTGCGCTACGAACCCGGCGAAACGCGTTCCCAATCCGGCTCACGGCCACCAACACCAGTGACGATTATCTGAACCGGTCCTGGGCCTCCCCTAGGTCGACTCCACCTCCAAATGAGTACCTGGTGCGGTGTATCAACATCGCCACTGGGGAGACAAAGGCAGTGAGGTGCGATGCTGGCCACCCACTCCCTCGTGTGCCGTGCCGGCCTTCGTAGGTGCTCCCAAGGAGCACTTCTGCCTCCCGGTCTGTCAAGGCGACACGTGGGGGATCGGTGTCTTTATCTTAGACGAAACATGTTAATCCTACAACACCGCATGTACAGGGACTCCCCTACTTTCGAACACGTTAGGTTCCAGAGGTTACAAGTGTGCACGCCCTACAAGTTGTAGGGCGTGCACACTAAACACGGAATGGCTTTAACAGTCGTATAACCTCCTGCAGATGTAGATGCCACTGGTTCTTCACGTTCTGCAGATGTAGATGCCACTGGTTCTTCACGTTCTGCAGATGTAGATGCCACTGGCTCTTCACGTTCTGCAGATGTAGAGGCCACTGGCTCTTCATGTTTTGTAGATGTAAATGCCACTGGTTCTACAGATATAGATGCCACTGGTTCTGCAGATGTAGATGCCACTGGTTCTTTGCGTTCTGCAGATGTAGATGCCACCGGTTCTTCACGTTCTGCAGATGTAGATGCCACCGCCACCTCTGGCCCACCCAGCAGTAGTTGCGAATGGAAAGTTGCTGCAGTTAGCCGATGGGCAAGGCCGCGTGTCGCAGCGGGGTAAAAACTAAACTAAACTTTTTATTTTATTTATTTTACCAGCTAAGGCCCCACCCCGAGGTGTGTGTAGCTCGTTTTCAGAAGCGACCTGGCTGTCACAAATGATAGCTGGACGAAGTGGCTTGTCCACGCGGGGATTTATACGAACAGGCAAATCTCGTGTTTCTAAAATGAGGAGGGGGGGGGGGGACCGGAGGACCCGGAGAGAAAGATCCACGCCACCGACGGGGAGACGCACAAACAAATCTAACAGGGAGTTGGGATCGAGCCCACGAACCCCTGTAGACCAGGCGAGGTAGTTAACATCTCGCAAAGTGTGTGGGTACCCCCAGCTCTTTCCAATGCGTCCAGCCAGCGTTTGAGTTATCTCGCTAACAGAGCCTCCTCCATCCGCCACCAGTGCGGCGTGCACGCGTAAATATCTCCACCTAATTCTAGATGCTGTGTGTTTTGTTTGTACCGTTTAGACACACTCAGACACACACGCTCACCCCCCCCCCCAAAAGTTTCGCTGCTCAAACAAGCAAGAGACACCCCCCCCCCGTGCCCTCCTCTGCAGTCGGCAGCCCTGCCAGAGCCAGTGGTGGAAATTCCACATCCCTATGACAGTTCCCATTTACCCGGCACGCGCGTATGTGTACACGCACACGGAGATGATATAATGCGCGTCTGTATTTACGTGTTTTGTCGTGCGGTATGTTTTTCAGTTTTTCTGTTTCATTTATTAGGCATAAACACGTTTATGTTTAACGTTAATGTAACACTTAAACGCGCACAGTTCTGGTGCTGTGTTAAGGTTCTTTTTTTTAGATGTACTACTGATGGCTCAACGGCATATAATGAAAGCTTACGGTCAATATTCACACAAGCTGGGCTAGCCTACAATGCAAACACGCGCGCGTGTGCCCGTGTGTTTATGCGCGTGTGTGTGGGGAGCGGTGGTGTAACGGTTAGCGCGCTGCAAACCCACGGCGACTCGAGTTCGATTCCCGCTCACGGCCAACACCAGTGACGATTATTTTCTGAACCGGTCCTGGGCCTCCCCTAGGTCGACTCGGCCTCAAATGAGTACCTGGTGCGGTGTGCAGTAAACATCGTCACGGGGGGAGACAAAGGCGGCCGGCCGTGGCAGCGGCCTTCGTAGATGCTCGCTAACAGCACTTGCTCCAACATTCTGTTAAGGCTATACGAGGGATCTTTGTCTTTTGTGCGCGTGTGTGGTGGCACTTGCCCCAAGACTCCACGAAGGCTGTACGAGAACCTCTGCCTTTATGATGCGCTAAGAGCTCAGTCACTGCCCTCGCTGTGACGCCTGATCCTGACTCGCTTCAATTTGCGAATCTGAACCTTTCCCCTCGGCCGACTCTGCCTTCAAATGAGTCGTCCCTTGGTGCAGTGGTGGTGGTGGTGCTGTGGTATGGTGTGTGTGCGGTCACGACAGGTAGGCCGGGGGGGGGGTCGTGCATGTGTGCTGGCCTTCCTGGTCTTAATAGGCGCTCTCTGATACCCGCTTGCTTTTCCCACTGGAACAACCGTGCCGAGCTGCTGGTTTCTTGTTTTCCCACTGCACGAGCCGAGACACGCCAGCGACGCGACCGTCTTTGCGGGTTACGTGGCGTTCACGCGACGTTCGCCCCCTGATCCTCTCCCCCGTGGGTTCATTCGGACGTCGTCTTGCTGCTGCTCTTCTGGCTCCGTGGGTTATCGCAGCTCCCTTCTTGAGCACTCCTTTTTGGGTTTGGTTTTGTCCTTGCACGCACCTCGCGATTCAGCACCGGTTGGCCTACGTACGGTGTGAAAGAAATTCTACATACACACTACTTTGCACCACCTGTACAACATTGAGAACGCAATTACGTTAGCACGGCTTTGTGTTTTAGTTTTCCGTCTTTCTCCCCGCACCTCCGATTTCGCGCGGTTGGCTCTGTGATGCGAAATAAATTCTTCACACAGACGACTACTATACACTACACTGTAAACTACACTGCGAAATACGACGCCACGATACCACATTGAGAGTTAATTTCTTTCGCGCTGATTTTTGCGTGCTCCGTTTGACCTTCCCGCCCACCTCCGATATTTTTTTAGCACGGTTGGCCTACGTACGGTGCAAAAGAAGTTAAACATACCTGCAATGGGACAAACGTGTAGGGGGGTGGCAGCAGCCGTAGCCGTGACAGCCCCACACTGGCACGGCACGCGTGCCAGTGTCGCCGTGACAGCCATTCAGTAAGGTTTCTCACGTAAACAAAACATGGAAATTCGTTACTAGTACAGCAATGCTGTGTGTGGGTTCACTCTTCAACACACCGCCGGTGTGCTGAACTAGTAGCGGATTGACACGTTTTGTTTTATCTGACTGCTTACAAATTGGGCTGTGTCGGGTTTAACGACACATTCAGATTTACGCGATCTAACCCCAAAATCCTCCTTGTGGATAATATCGGTCGTGAAATCGATACATGTTTTTATAAACTCCACCACCACCCTCACCGTTAACTTCCATGCTGACACCACACTCATTACTGCCCTCTTCATTTGGAATCCTTTTTTTGTATCAAACATGAAAACAATGAAAGCTATCGTAACAAAAAAAACCTAAGGCTCACCGGCACACTCCGAAATCCTGCACAGGCAATCTGAGCATACACACAGTGTAACAATCCTGAGTGGGGGGGGGGGGGTCATGGTCACGGAACCCAAAGTCTGTGACCTCTCCTCCCACGCTATATGCAGCAGCTTCACCGATGAGTGCCCTAAAGAATGTCGTCGTCCTTCACGCAGCCCGCACCGCGCTGCTTGCTTGGATAGTTTCAAAAGTCCTGAACCAGATGTTGATGTTGTTGTTTTTAAAATCCTATGGACAATCTTTGAATCGTGCCGGGTGAAGGGCGGGGTGGTAGGGAGGATGGGGGGGGGTAAGTAAAATTAGGTTTTGGGTTTTGTGTTTTTAATTCCACCGATGCCAAAATCTCGCGTGACGCTTTGGTGAATGGGGATGGGTGGGGGGGCACTGTGGCTCCGGCCAGTGGGGGGGGCCGCGCTGGCGACGTCGTGGCGCCTGAGAGACGCTCACGACGGCGTGGGGGGGGGCGACACGTTGATGCTAAATCCGTGGCTTCTCGCTTTGCCAGCGCGTCCGTCCATCCGTGACGACGAGAAACAACGCGCCCAGCCGCGGCACTGACCGGCGTCTGAATTTGTTCGCTGAAGATGGGATGGGTTTTTTTTGTCTTTTTTTCGGACGCTGCCGCCACTTTTGGGAATTTTATAGCTGGAAAGGATGGTGCTGTGGCAGTCGACGATGTGATGATGATGATATGTCATTCGTAAATGTTTCACCCCCACCCCCCTGTCCCCAACAAGCCTTGCTCGCTATTACCGGAGTGTAAGCTTCTGAAAGTCCTGTGATAGGTCCTAGTAACTTAATACGAATGCTTTGGATGAAGGTAAAATTTAACCTCGTTTTTAAATGCAGGTGGTTCCCAGACTTTTAGACGGTGGACTCCAAATCAAAACCACCAAGGCCAGAATGCAGATGGCTCCCTATCCACGCCTGAGTTCGTGAATGCGGCATTATTAGTAAGGCATTTGTTTTTCGCGTTGTGTAATTCGCGTGGTTTTTTTTTAGTCGGTAAAGCGTCTCCACGCCGTGTGTATCGTCCCCCTCCCCCAAACGTGGTGCTGTCGTGACACCGACACGCACATCCACAATTCTAAATTCCTCCTGCACGGTGTCCATGACGCAGCCTGCGCCCACCAGGTACATCAATGCCCCGCTGGTTTTTCCCCAAGGTTTAGCTTTGCAGATTCCAGACTTTTTTTTTGGTGAGACGAGTAGTGCTGTTTATTAGGCTCCTGCAACATTCTCCAATCCTACAGCGTGTGCCCGCGAAATCCCGCCTCTGCTACTGCTACTGCCCCTGGCCTCCCCTCTCCCCGCTTTGCCTTGTGACCAAATCTCGTCCATGAGCCCCCCCCCCCAGACCCCAGACGTTCCACTTCGGCGGGTTGCCAATTTGTCTTCACGGCCGATTTTAACGGGGCGGTTACGCCGATACCCACTTATCGCGCAAGTCGGCCTTGTAAAGTAGTAAACAAAAGACGACGACAACACCCTGAAAGTTGTTGCTGATGCTGCTGCCTTCTACAGGTGCGGGGGGGAGCCCCACAGACTATACACGGACCCTTGAACCCCCATGGACAATTTGGGCCCATAGACTTTTTTGACCCATGGGCTAATATAGACCCTTGGATAGTTTGGACCCTTGGATAATTTGGACCCATGGGCTAATATGGACCCATGAGCTATATGGACTATTTGGACATTTTGGCGTTTGCTCCGCCGTTGCCTGATGGGCAAGAAACGAGGGGGGAGCGATCGGGACTTTTCGCTCGTCTCGCGTTCGTCAAAGATCCGCCTGCTTGTTGTTGTTCCTCGTCCTCCTCCTCGCACCGACGGTCTCCGTTCTCCCCGGGAGGGCGACCTTCGGTTCGTTTTGGATACCCAAAGCCCCCCCCCACCCCCCTCCACCCCCCTCCACCCCACCTCGAGGTGCGGTTTGAATGGGAATGTAGCTTTGATTGCTTTAAGTTGATTTTTGAGGTCCAAAAAACTATTGAGTGAACTACAAACATTTAATGCAAGCTATATATTTAAGAAACGTGAAAAGAATATACTTTGTGACCAAGTGGATGGGTAATTTTGTACATATTGGTCTGCGAAACTGCTGTTTGCATATGTTAATCTGTACGAGTGAATTATTTTTTGCATTTAAAATAAAGATGTTGACTTTGCGGGAGATTTAGACGATTTGGCCTCGCAGCTTAACGTGAGTAAGAAATAAACTTAAACACTTTAGACGATGTTTGTTTTTGTATCTTTTTTAATTCGCGATTTCCCCCCTCCCCTCCCCCCACTTGGCTGGTCAATTGGAAGGTGGTCGCAACTTCTCCAGCGCCGGTTGTAGGGTCAACTTCACCCATCGTCATTCCAGCAGGGTTGAACAAAATGAGAATGAGCGCTGCGATTGCGATGTTTAATACCTCGCCTGGTACACAGGAGATCGTGAGTTCGATCCGAACCTGTTGTATATTTGGCGTTTGCGTGTCCCTCTCCAATGGTCCGATGGTCGTGTGGATTTTTCTCCTCCCGGGTCCTCCGGGTTTTCCCTCCCATATTTAGAAACATGCGTTTTAGAGTATTTGGCTGATATCAAATTTCCGCGTGATGATAAGGCACCTTCCGTTGAGCTATCAGATGTGATAGCAAGGTCGCTTCTGAAGAAAAGCGACAGAGCTAAGTGGCCCTTACCTGGTATAAAACACATTCCTCCTGTGGAGGGAGCTGGTAGGAACGTTGGGTTGCTCGGTCAATGGCCAGGGTCAACGGCGGCGTGGTGTATTCCGCAAATATGCCCGACTGAGGGCAGGCACAAGCCGGCGTGAGTAGGTTAAACGTTGAGTTTTATAAGGGCACCACGGGGTGACCAGCCCCTCCCCACCCAGCCCCTCCTTGCACGACGGACACAATAATCCCCTGTGGGCTGGTGGAACCAGGAGGTTCTTACCAGTAAAAAATAGCTTGGAGTACGCATTGTTGTGGGTTCAGCCTCCCTTGAGACACTAAACATGCACAACGTCAAATGCACTCCGGCTTTGAAGAACCATCTCCAGACCTCTCTCTTTATCTCTGTGTGTCTGGCTCGGGGCTTTCGAGCGGCCCTGAGATTTGCTCCAAGCCTATGAGTTGTCGACTTTGCAACATCTGGCGCGTTACGAGTGGCATTCATAATATCATCATTCTCAACAACAGGGTTTGGCTTTTTCAAGTGCTGCTCAACTTTGATCAACTGCAGGAATGCGGTTGACGATCACGGTTGACGGGAACGACCGCGATTGTGATGAGCGAATTGCCCCCAACAAGGAGGCGCAACAACAACAACGCCAACAACAAACTCAACGCGCCGCTGTTCATGAAGCGATCCGCGTGGATTGCAGTGGCAGGAGAGGGCATTGCCGAGCCGCTGAGACCCAGCGGGGATGCTGGGCGTTGACCGGGGGGGGGGGGGGGGCTCGTCATCGCGATGTTGTGGGGGGAGCGAGAGTCGGAGTCGTCGACTCGAGCAACACCAGCGACGATTCTCTTGACAACCCCCACCAACCACCCCACCCCCTAGGTCAACTTGGCCTCAAATGAATACCGGGTGCTGTGTAAAGTAAAACAACATTTAAAAAAAAAATTCCGCTAGGGGAGACAAAGGCGGCCGGGCGTGGTGCTGGCCACCCACCCGCTCACTCCTTCTGTGTGCCATAGTCCCAGCCTTTACAGGTGCTGCTACTCCCTAACAACCCTTGCCCCAAAAGTCTGTCGAGGCTATACGGGGGGGTGGGGGTGTGTGTGTCTTTGTCTTTGTTGTGGGGGAGTAAGGGAGTGAGGGAGGGAGGGGGGTGGGAGACAGCTGGCGTTGTTGGCCCAGGGCCTCGATGGGCCCGAGCACGTGACCGGGGGGGCCCTCCCCGTGAACAAGGAGGCCGAGAGGGCTGCAGGGTGGTGCTGGTGCTGGTGGTGACCGCGTGGAGCGTCTCGCTGGCGAGTGGTGACGTTTCCCTGCTGGAGGGATGTCAGTGGCGTAGGACCTGCATTACATTATGTAACCATTTTTGTTCATGGGTAGTAAGTGTTATTTCGTTAATTGTTCATGCCTAAAAAGTACAGAAGATTGCTATTATTCCTGCAAACTTTGCTTTTGTGACCAGGACAGTGATATTTAGAAATGTACCTGTTTTAATGTGTCTCTTCGTTCACGTAAAGTCAGAAAAAATAACCTATGAATCAAAATAAACATGTATTTATACTAAAGTAATAAAAAAAATGAACTCCCTCGGTACCCTCCTCTTTACAGTCTCTCAAGTCACCCTTCTTCCAAGTCCACTGCAAGGTCACTGGGTCACCCACTCACCTGTTCACTCACTCACCCACCCACCAACTCACTCACTCACCCACCCACCCACCAACTCACCCACCCACCAACTCACCATTCATTAACTCTCACTCACCGACTCACCTGTTCAATCACCCACTCACCCCACTCACCCACTCACCCACTCACTCACTCATTCATTAACTCACTCACCCACTCGCCTGGGCATTCACTCACTCTCCCCACCCACTCATTAGCTCGCCTCCTCACTCACCTGTTCATTCACTCACTTTCCTCACCCACTCACCCACCCACTCACCCACCCATTCATTAACTCTCACTCACCCACTCACCTATTCATTCACTCACCCACTCACGCACTCACCCACTCACCTGGGCATTCACTCACTCGCCCCACCCACTCATTAGCTCACCTCCTCACTCACCTGTTCATTCACCCACTCGCCCCACTCACCAAACCAATCACCCACACATTCATTACTTCACTCACTCCCCTACTCACCTGTGCACTCACCCACCCACCCACTCACCACACCGCAGGTCACAATATTTCTCCTTCTGCTCTCTCCCTTCGCTCTGCTCCGCGTTGGAATGCCTGATTTCCCTCCCATCATCTTTTACTACAACCACCTTGGGTACACGTTTGTTTTCATCAAATGTCAAAATTGTATCCGTGCTGTTTGTCGCTGACCTCTGGCGCTTTGAGTGCCTGCGCTCAGCACCCGGCGCATTGTGTGAACATCATCAATGGGGGTACAAAGGCGACGGGGCCATGGTGGTGGTGGTATCAGCCACCGTGCGCACCTTAATAGGTGCTCGCTCAGGGGCGGTTTCTTCATTAGGGCGATTGGGCGACGCACCACCAATGTCATTCAACCACAGAGTCACGCTAGCCGTCACTGTGCCTCTGGATATAGTCCAATCAGCGTCATGTCACGTTCTGTGGAGTACCACCTCTTTTTGGGCGATTTCACTCCGGCTGAGAATCGCCCCGAGTGGCCCCATAGACTTACATTCAAAGATGTTTTTTTTCGACCGGGGGGCGCTGCAATGCATTCTCTACGGCTTCCGGGAGGGCTTGCACTAACGTGCTTACGTCATCATACGTAAGCACGTTTCATCCAACAATATAATTTGTCGCCACCTAGTGGAATCTTTAATAAAAGAAACTTGAGTGGATTGTATTAATAGTGAGTATAGAAACAAGCAAGATGTATTGTAAGAGTCACTTTATTTAGCATTAATATTAAAGAAGTGAAGTTGCCTTTACATGCTTAAGCTGTTAATTTATCCATTGCATGGGTGGACCTTATCCTTATCAATCATCCAGACATTTGCCCCCCCCTCCCCCTGAGAGATTTTGCAGGAGCCGCCACTGGGCTCGCTAACAGCACTTGCCCCTGCCCCTATCGTGTCGCTGTGGCGCTATTTGGGGAAACTTTGCGTGTCCGGTCACATCCCGAAAGTGACCTTGAAGTCCACCCCCCCCCCCCCCCCAAAACGTCCAATCTGCCTCGCCCTTCCTTCCTGCAGAACGACGTTGCAATTGTTCTGACCTTGCCTTTGTGGAAGCGTGGGTCTGTGTGTCAGTGTGTCAGTGTGTGTGTGTGTGTCCGTGTGTGTATGGGGAGCTCGCTAACAGCACTTGCCCCTACAGTCTGTTAAGGCTATACGGGGGATCTTTGTCTTTGTATGGGGAGCGGTAGTGTAGCGGTTAGCGCTACGCTGCGCGACGTACCTGGCGACCCGATTTCAATTTCAGCTCCCGGCCAAAACCGGTGACGTTTATCTGAACCGGTCCTGGGCAGCCCCCCTCCCTTAGATCGACTCGGCCTCAAATAAGTACCTGGTGCGGTGTGTAAGCATCGCCACGAGGAAGATAAAGGCGGCCGGGTGTGGTGCTGGCCACCCACCCCCTCGTGTGCCGTGCCGGCCTTCATAGGTGCTCGCTAACAGCACTTGCCCCAAAAGCCTGCTAAAGGCTATACGGGAGATCTTTGTCTTTACGAGTACAGTACATGTTAGTGTAAGCACGTGTGTGTGCAATTATGCCCAAGCTTTAACCATGACCCGTTTTGGTGAAAAGTGAGTTCTGCTTACATAAGCACGCATCACATTTCTCATCGGCAAGCCGAATGAAAGAAACACTTATATGCCTGTAACACATTCGTAAATTAGACTCTGTAGCCTTAAGATAAAAAAAAAATGATCGTCAAAGTTCCGGCCAATGACCTTCTACAGAGCACTTAAATATTACAGTCTGTGTTACTGCACGTAATAATTCATTTTTTAATGTAAGTGCTATGAAGTAGGGGCATTGCCCGAAACGTCGCCTATCATGTTTCCTTCGAGGCCACGCACGCACCGTCAGTTGTTACTGCTGACCGTGATGGGTTTGTGGCTGTCTGTGCTGCAGCAGTAGAAGCGGCAACACCAGCACCGCCACCACCAAACCGAGTCCATTGTTCAATCCGTGGCAAAGGTCCCAACCGGGTACCCGATACCCGTACCCTACCCGATACCCGGCTACCTGTACCCGGCCGGGTACTGGTAGCCGTTTGCGACCCTGGTGCGGCCGGGTACGGGTAGGCCGTGAGTCACTGGTGAGTAACCGTTTGTCACTCATTTCGGGTAGGGTACGGGTAGGGAACGGGTACCCATTTGTGACCCTGGTGCGGCCGGGTACGGGTACGGGTAAGGAATCAAAACCCGTTTGCGACCTCTGGTCCGTGGTGACCGCAGCAGGGAGAGCCGACCCTGCTAAAACGTGCTTCGAATCCAACTCACGCGCCAAACTAATTTCTTCACTTTATAATTTACCAAGTCAAGCCCACTGAGCTTTACGGCTCTATTTCAGAAGCGACTTGGTCACAAGTGGTCGCGCAGAAATAATTATAAAAAAGAAACACTCGAAACG